TGGGGTATATTGGTTTATTGTATATTGAATATATTAATACAAAAATTATTAATAAAAAACTGTGATGTATCAACGAGATGTCTGATTGATAAACACCTAAAATAGGAAATGATAAATGAGTATGAGATATGGGGTTGACTAGTTAAGGGTGAACTTACCACTCTCTATGTATGGCACCAGTAGGATCAAAAATACGATATTCCCAAAAGCACCAAACATTGTTCACTAACTAGCACACAATCATCACGTGAACTATCGCTACTACTAATATAACACCTTAAAATATACACATTATAAATAAAAAGAATCCAGCTGGAGTTAACCAGCGTAAAAAATATACAATAGTCCGATCATGGCTTCCCTCACAACGGTTCGGGCCTCGGTGTTTTGGTGTACTAAATCAACTGTTCAACATGTGTTTCCAGGGAACAGGTAGCGCCTCTGTTCCCTCCAGGAAGGCGCCAAATTCAAATGACTGCAATTGTCATTGGAAAAGATGGTAATAAATATTAAAACAATAGTTTTTCATTCTTAATACCCCACAACTGCATACATTCATACTGTGATTTATGAGCGAAAGAAAATAAATACAAACAATAGTTCGATTTTTATTTACATTCTCTGCAAAAGAAATATTACTAATTTTTTTATTACCTAATCAAATAAGATAAAAGTAGTTGGCCAATGCGAATAATTCACATGGTAATTGTTCAATGAACAAATGACAATATAACAAAAAAATAAGTAAACCCAATTTATGATGATAAGTAGGAATTAATTTCTTTTCCTAGGTAGATGATGGTTCATTCGAAATAATAAACAAAAACATTATAACAAATAAATATTGGCTTTATCTTCTAAACATAGTCCGATATCGATAACTTCAATTTTTTTCATTCTTAAGGAATTTAGAAAATTTTCAAATTATAATGGGCATAAGATAGTGGATAATAGTTGAGTATAGAAGATATTTTGAGAAAAGTTGGTTGGGGTATTCAGTCAATATAATTTATTTATTTTTATTTTGTTCTTTCATTGAATGAAAACCACAACAAGATTGTCTCCAAATATCATAGGTATGCTATTTGAGTTATGTACAGATAACGTTTCCTTTTCTTCATCACTTTTTTTACTTTCTTTTCTGGAAGATACTTATTTACCCCTGAAGCAGAGGATACTCTTCAAAATGATGGCTAAATCTTGGGATTCGATGCAGCATTAATGAAGTACTGATAAGAAAAACACCTCTGAGAATAAATATATTAAGATTAAAATAAAAATCTAAATAGAATATTAATTTTATATTAAACAGTAAGCTAATTGAGGATGTGGCAGCAATAAGGGTCCATTTATACTTCAAAAGTTAAATTTGAGCTATTAACATTCAAATATTTTTAACAGGTTGTGTATAATTTTTCTATATAACTTAAATTGTTCATTTACTTTCTACCTTTTGTCCAATTGTTCATAAAGAGGATAAAATTAATAAATAGTGATTTATTTTTTAAATTGACCTACATAATATTACAATGCTTGGTAATGGCTCTAGTGAATGTTTTATAAATACTTTAAAGTAAGTACTCAGTCTAGATTAATTTTAATTGGTCTGTTTCAACAGGAATCACTTTTTTATTCAAAAGATAATCCATTAAATGCCTTGTTCTGCATTACGCCACTATTATCTTTATAATATTTTATCTTGAAATAATGTCAGAGAAAAACTGTGGTAGACTTTCATTTTTATGCCATTCAATTTAAAGTAGTAATACCATGAAAAGAATAATTTTTAATTTATGACAAAATAGTAGCTACATATCATCTTTAAAAATTATCATTGATTTTTATAGGCATGAAATAAATATCTTTGTTAAGTAAAGGAAATCTAATTATAAAATCCCTCAGTTTAATATTTGTATGGATAAGAAAATATTTTTGCCAGAACTACATATATTTTTTCCCAGCTAGTCATTCTATTGTTTACCTTCCATTTTCAATTCTTCCAGCACTCAATTTTTTCTTTGGCATCTATTATTGGTTGTAACACCTCTGATTGATTCTTCAGCAAATTGCCATAAAATAAAAATACAATACTAATGATAAGCATTGTATGATTCACAAAAATGAGGACGGCATATATGTCTTTACAACTTCTTTTTGTGACCCAACGCAGGTTAAACGATATAAAATTATTTCTATAATCCATAAATATTTAACTTCTATTAGAGACAAATAAATAGAAACTTGGTCATGACTAGAAACAGGAAATAATTAAATTGCTTATTTCGAAAAAGTTTTTCATACAACTAGTGAATACAAAAAATTTTACCTTTAATTCAATTTGAATAAGTTTGAGTTACTTAATGTGCAAAGCTACTAGACAATACTTTGTACTGTTCCACAGAAGCATCTTATTGTGAAACAGAGCAACTAATTTATTTGTGATTAAAATTAAACATTCCATTAAAATTTGTGATAAAAATTAAAGTGATCAAGATGTAAACCTTAATCAGAAACTGAAGGCTGAGCTGAGCATGAGTAGAACAGGAATAATTTTACAATACCCTAATAGTTAAAAATAAATTAGAATAATTATAGGAAAATTCTGAGAACTTCTGCATCTGCACTTTTCAATGATTAAAACTTGGCTTACCTATTTCTTTTTATAGCTGATTGATTAGATCTTCCTCGAACAGACACCAATAAGTGCTTCTTGCATTAGTTGCCATAAACTTAATTGCAAACTTAACTTTATGGCCAACCCAGTTCTGGTTTTCTACTTCAGAATACCTTTGCAAGGTTTTTTTTTTCTTGTTGTCTATAATAATATTCATTCTGGTATATAACTTGATCAGTATAATGATGATGCTAAATTTTTAACTACTATCTACTTATATCTATGACTGGCATCGGTACTTTTTGTACAAAATATATTTATAATTAAAGGCTTTGACCATTTAAATTTTTGTAAGAACATAATAATTTGAGAGACTTGGAGCTTAACCAAAAACTCAGAAGTCATGCTCAACTTCTGGAAGAGAAAAGTATTGAGAAGAATATGGAGCAGAATTAGTGAGAATGAAATTTGGAGAAGAATGAAGAGCTGCTGAAACTTTATGGAGAACCTGATACTGTGGCATTGATAAAAAGAGCCAGGATAAGATGGTTAGGTCATCTGAAAAGAATGCCCGACCAAAGAATGCCAAAGAGGATGCTGTGTGAGAAGCCAGACGGCAAAAGAAGTAGAGGACCCCCTCAGATCAGATGGCTGGAGGACGATCTGAGGCGGCTGGGCATTTGAAGATGGAGGGAAGTAGCACAAGACCATGGAGATTGGTTGGCTGTAGTGGAGGAGGCCCAGGTTCTTGCAAGACTGTAGCACCATTATAACCATAACAATAATACAAATACTTTAAAACTCAAATGTATAATAATAAAACACACAGAATATGCCATATAATATGGAGTAAAAAATTCTGAAATATGCAGTAAAAAAAATGAAGAAAAATACACTAATTAATCTCTAAATATGCTAAACTTACTAATTACTTGATGATTAATACGTCAGTAATGTATTTAAATATACTGATGTGCATACAAACAGTTTTGAAATCAAAATGAAATTATAGAGGGATTACAAATTATAATAATTTCAGTTTTTCTGTTTAAATATCTAAACTAAAGAATAAAAATAACTATACATTGATGGAAAATAAGGTTATTATTTACATTATAATAGTCGAAAACATGACATAACCGCTATAAAAAAAGTAAAATATCGAAATCATATAAAGTATATACAAAACAAAAAACAATTATTGTATTAACACATAACTTAATATCTTCTGTTGTTCAGATTTAATTACTGTTTTAAAATCTATAAACTGTTTAGGTGAAAAATTTAGATCCAATAAATTTTACTTTCATGAGCAAAAATTAGATCAATTTCTTGCGTAGGTTGAGGGGGGGGGGAGGGTTCATAGTACAAACATACATTTCGTCACTAAATACACTTTTGATAAAGCCTAACTTTTAAAAACATATTTGTGAATTACAATCATATCCATTGATGCAAAAACTCATTAAGTTTATAAAAATAAGATTAAACTATTACATGTCAAAATAAGTCACACCAAGTTCACAATGTTTTGATTTCACACGGAGCAAATTAATCAAAACACTAGTTTAACTTTTATAGTATGACTTTTTTCAACAAATCGACAATATGCATTAGTTACTATGAAAAAAAATTCATTCAACCATTTTCTTCAATTATCTTTGCCATCCCTTCCACTTTTTTTTCTATCTCTATAGATACAATGTATGTAATTTGAAAATAAAGAGTTATTTAAAAAGGGTTCTCTGATTGTATTACGAGCTTAAAAGCAAAGTAAATTACAATAAAGTTCACCTATATTGTCATGTTGATCGATCTGTGGTTTTCTTTCTTCAAGTACCCATAAATTAACTATTATGATATATTATATCCAAATAATTTTTTAATACATATATACCAATAAAAAACTTAATTTGACAGAAACTGTAAATTAATAATCAAAAACAAACTATTATGACTAACCTATACATTAAAAAAATCTAACAAAAATCACACAAATGGTTGTTTTTGGTAAACAGGTGTAAAACCCTAAGATCATCCCCCGAAACTCATTCAACTTAGTTTCATTAATAGTAAAATGAAATATTACAATGTGTAATTGGCTTGATTCATAGCTCAATTATGATAATAAAAACAGTCAATATTCTCATTTTTAAGAAAAGATGTATTGATTTCATGGAAACTAAGACAAAATATAAAATCAGTTTATTATAATTAAACAATAAAATATTTAATGTAGTTTTTATAAGAAAAGGAATATAAAAAAATTAATAATAATACAATGATTGAATAAAGAAATCTCTTTATTTACTTTCTATATATTGTAAAATATACACTTTTAAAAGGTACTTTCAATCAATAAATTATCTCCATATATTTATGGCACTCATGTCTGAGATTTTTTTCTTGATTCATTACGAAATAGGATCTTCTTTATCACAAGCAACTAGGAAAAGAAAAAAAACATTAGATGAGGTCCAGAATTTATAACAGAAGAGAAATGAGTACAAATAAATTAATGGTGAAATAATAATAGTAATGGCTCTAAAATGTTTAGTGATAATCAATATTTATATCAATAAATCAATAAAATAGCAAAAACCAGTTTAAATAGAAGATATTAAGAACAAAATAAATAAAGCAAAAATTATTATTTACTTTATATATTTCATTCAGGGATGATTCATTCAAAACATGAGTAATGATATTGTATGTAAAAATTGAGTGCAATAAAAAAAAAAATGTTTCAGATAGAACTAATATGATTTTTAATTGCTGCCATATTTTAATAGAAAGTCTCAAGATACATATAAAAGCTCTCATCTGTCATAAGACTAGTATTAGCCATAAAACAAAATATGTACATAACAAACAAAAAAAAGAAGAGAATACAGCATTAATGGATATTTTGAAAGTTGGGTTAGGTTTCAACTAAAAAAAAATCTGATGATTTTGAGTAGTGCAAAGAGGATGGTAAAAAAGCTGGTACATGCATCACACAACTTTCACTAACCGCTCTTATTTGAACAGAAATTGTCTGGTGAAATTGAGCTATCACAAAAAGTTTATGAAGTGCATTCTTAATGGAGCTAAACCTTAAAGAACACATTTGTGAATTTCGGTTTCATTTATCAATGCAAAACTCATTAAGACCTCAAAATAACACCAACCATATTTATTATAACAACTGTAAGCAATAAAAATATCATAAATCTATCAATTAGTTTGAACCAGAGATGGGAAAAATCAGAATCAATGACTACATGATCATCACTGAAAATAAAACTGACAAAATGACGAAGCCGATTTTATACTTGATTCAATATAGCAAAAATGTGACACATTTACCTGATTACTATCGTAATTGGAAACCGGATCACTGTAATTGTAATCATGACTACTGTAATCATAATCATTGATTATGATTATGCCCTTCTATGATTTTAACCACATAACTCTAGTCTCTGAGCTTCATATACAAAGAGAGATTTGAAAATAAATATTTTTAATATATGAATAGATAAGGATATTACTACATAGTAAAAATTATAGGACTTAAACCTCTATCTCTTTTTACATTTATTTAATTCACATTTTCTTCCCTTTTAAAATTTACCGAAATACACTTATGTTTCAATATCAAGATAGATCAAATGTTGTCAAACTAATTGAAAATAAATAATGTTACAAGTTGAACATTCATGAAATTATTCACTAATTCAATTTTCTAAAATGTTAATGATTTTTTAAAATAAATATATCGTTGGTTTATTGCAAAAAGTCACTAAATGCATTTTTGATTAGGTTAACTTTGAAATTTGTTTTTATGAATTTCGACCTTATTATTCATACAAAAACACTGGAAAGTACATGAAAATGACACACACCCTTTTATTTATCATATACAATTACTTTAAGAGCACAATTTTCTGATTTCACAAAGGGAAAATTCATCAAAGTTCTTAATTATTTGAGGTTATGAAATGTCACTTAATGACTTTTTGCAATGACCGGATGATATTGTATATTCTTACTATTATTTCTGGTGGTAGGACTTGGTTGTTTGGACTCAGGGGAACTGAAACGTATATTTCAGTTGAAAACTCGGATTTAAAATATTTCAAGATCGCAATAGTTTCCCTTACTGTATATTTCATATATATAGTAAGCGAAAGTATAAATTGATATATCAATGTTTCAAAATATGTTTATCATTTTTAATATGATTGGTTTCTATCTAGAGAATTCAAATTAACTAATTTGTAAAAAAGAAAGTCCAAATTTTTACTAATATACAAAAAAAATTAAAAACAGTTTTAGTATCGATTTTTTTTTTTCTCCAAAATTATCATACCTTTGTAGTAAAATAATTTTTGAAAAATGTAATAAAATAAATGATTTTTAGAGTCCACAGGCTCTTGATCGTTTTATTTTCATACACAAATATATCTTACCTCTTGCTTGAAACAAACAATGGATAGTATAAGCAGACATAGAATTAGAGTAGCAGAAAAGATATACAAGGATGTAGCTCTACGATTTTGCCATGCGACAAGTTCCTGATAAGTTGAAAATCTAAAACAAATAAAAAATCCTGAGAGTGTAGATTTAGATTAGAAAAGACAATGAAGCAAATAATTGAAAAAAATGGAATAAATTATTTTAAGATGGCTAATTAGGAATCCAATTTAATTGTTTCAAAACATTATTTCATAGCTTTTGACTCCCGGTTATTATGCTTGCTCAAGTGGTAAACAAAATCTATATAGGTTCGTGACCTTTGTGATCAAAATGAATGACCCTGTTAGTCTATATATGTGTAGCTTTATATGTCAATATACATATATAAAGAGCAACAGAAACAACTAATATATTTGTATTTAATTTTATTTCTCCTCTAAACAAAAAAGAATAAAAGAACTTGATGCTCATTGGAAGAAATATATATTGAGGGTATGCAATAAAAACTGTTTAACTCCATTTTGGTAAACTTTACAAGGGGATAAATAAAAGTTAAAAAGTTTTAGATAGATAAAAAATAAACTTTATTATGGACGAACTCCCTTAAGAATAACAATTATGAACAAAAAACAAAAATCATTACTGGCCAAAAACTACATAAACAAATATTAAATAGTATCTGCAACATCTTTCGTGCCAAAAGAAAGTAAACAACAAAAGTAAAAACATTTTGAAAAAAACAAAAACATAACTGAAATGAAAAGAAAAACGGAAATTAGGAATAATAAAAAACAGAATGTTATAAACATAATGAATTGATTCTTAAAACTAAAATTTAAACAATTCAAACAAACATTTACTTCAATCGAAATTAAATCCATACAATTTATTATTTTACATTTGATGAGTATCATTTTGGGATATGAACAGGAATTGGAAAAGTAGATATTTGAATGAGGACAAGGAAGAGGCATCGCGGATTTCAGATGGCAAGAAATTTCAGAAGGCAGTGGATCGGGCAACAAAGGAATATTCAAATGTTTCAGTTCTATGGAAAGGGATATAAAGATCAGAAACATGGGATCTTGTATTATGGAAGTAGATTATGGGTTTGAACTGCAGCAGACTGTAGGTGTAGGAAGAGTGATAGGAGTTGATCATTTGGAATAAATAAGATCCAAGGAAATATTGTCGGTGGAAAGAAGGGGCACATGAGGACACACCACCTCAAAGTATCGAAGACGAATCTGAGAAAGGAGTTTATGGGTTGTATCAATCTGTCCTCGAGTATGATTGGGATGCCACCGTACACCATGAAGCCGTAGTCAAAGTGGGAGAAAATAAGAGAAGATACAAGGAGCTTGTGGAATTAGATGCCGGGAGTGATGAAATAACTTAAGGTCAACTTTTGTCCTTCAGGAGAAGAGTCCGATGTGAGTTTGATGGAGATAGATAGAATTGGAAAGATCATTTACATAGGAATTAAAAAGGAGGGGAAATGTTCGAACCATGGGCTACTCCAGAAGACAACGTAAGGAAGGAAGATTGGTTTGGAGTACTAACTGCTTGAGTCTGGAAATGGAAAGACTGAAAATCATAGAATAGAGATTTTAATTTAGTGTAGAGGATGGAGTAGTCTAAGAATACAGTGATACAGATTTAGTTTCTTTAGTTTTTACCTATACTATACAGTACAGACCTTACTTATTTATGGATTAAAAATCTTTTTGTATGTAGATATTTAAGAACGGAGTTATGTGGTTAAATGAACTGACGGAGTAACAATGTTTTTATTGCCTACTGTCAATATAGAGAATATCTTGATTATCTGATAAATATCTACCAAATTTGTAATTGTTTAAATGTATAATTTAATGTTAACAACTACTCAAAGAAATCGGATCGAGGAAGGAGATATAAACATTTACTTTTATTCGACAGACAAATTGTGACATAGGACTTACCGGTTTCTGACTTCAGGAGGCAACTCAAATGATGATGGAATAGGGAACAGAGAATGATAAAAATCTATAAGTACAGACTTTGCCAAATCATTTTCACTGCTACCATGATCCATATTATCATTAAGACAGATGAATTTCCTAAAAGTAAATGGTTACTTAGTACTTAGACAATATATGAAGTTATAATAAACAGATCATCAAAGAAATGCTGTTAGCATTAACTACTTATCATGAATAAAAAGCTATTTAAATCACGTAATATTGAAACATATATTATAGATCATATAATTTTATTGTGATAGGCATAAGCAATGTTTTTTACATTTCCTTGATTTGGTCATTGGCTTTTACAGTTAAAACATATCAACATAATTTTTTTTTAAAAGGTTTCAGGACTGAAAATTCCAATTTATATATTGATGACTATTATTATCATTCTGTGTTTAAAAAGGGGTAAAACCCTTCCTGTTGGTCACATAACTATTATGTTTTGGATCTTGGTAAAATATTACTGTATACAATCAATAATAATTTCTTTTGTTTTGTTTTTTAAGGGGGAAAAAGGTTTTTTGTGTTTACAGTAAAGTTTAAAAAATTGCTCTTATGCCTTATCACGTTGACATATTCTGATAATATAATATTAAAATTAATTTAAAATATTTTATTTATATTCATTGCACTTATCAGCATAGAACTGATAAAGTTGCATAAATTACAATAATGAAAGAGTATGTAATAAGAACAATTCAACTAAATTATTTTCATACTTTGGATTAGCTCTGATTTGGTCCAAAGAAGTAAGGAAAATGGTGACATTCGAAACAACCATTTGAAAGCTTGTTGCTAAATCAACATCTGATGATTTCAGAACTAGATGGTTATATTTTGGGCGCGATCCAAACCTAAAAAATCAACAAATCAAGCTATTATTATAGTTGGTAATTTCAATGATTATTTACACCAATAAAATCATCCAGTTAAAAGAATGCACACAAGATCACAAAATAAATGATTCCTTAATTTTCTCAAAAATATAAAATTTGTTTACTAATTCAACAAACAGAAATTGAATTGTGCAATTAAATATCTATAAAGAATAATATTTACAATAGGATAGATAATTCAATGGAATACAACAGGGAGAACAAAAAATAATTCTTCAAAGTTATCCTACATATTAAACACTAAGATTACACTGTATAAACACTAATACAAATATTCACCGAACACAGAGACAAAAAAATATTTTAAATCAAATTAAATCAGGCTCAACACAAAACACATAAGGAAAAGAACAAACATTAGGTAACATCGTAGAGAAATGACTTTAGATGACAAAGTAGTATCCAAATTAACAATGGCTTCATTGAAAGAGATGTATAGGAAATGTTTTAGAAAATCTGACTAGAAAAATAAGATCAGGCACGACTTTATTAAATAATAGACAGTATGAGTTTGATTAACATACAACAGTAAAAGAAGTAAAAGAAAACACTAAAAATATTTGTATCAATTTATTTTTATACATCCTTATATTTTGTTGATTCATTATTTTCAATAATTATATTTATATGAGTGGTATGTTGTTATAGCAAAAAAAAAAAAAAAAAAATGGAAACAGATTGCAGCAAACAATACCGACGTTAAAATTATTTAATGTTATTTATTTGTTAATGTTATTGATACAACTAATCCTATAAAACACAAAACAAACACAAACTCAATTTATGGATATGAAATATGCTACTGATTACTTATCGTACAGAGTTAATACAGAAAGAACAAGTAATGCAAATTATTCACATTGTATCATTTTATTTAACAATTTGAAATCAGATAAATAATTAATATTGTCATTATACAAAAACTGAAGTGAGAATTAGAATTACAGTAAGTCTATTTAATAGTTAGATTTTAAGAAGTTTCAATTTAGGTAAATATTTGAGATTTTATATGATGTACAGTATGACTGAAATTTCAATAGAATGGATATTTTGCAATATTATCACTCCTTATAAAACTGAATAATAATTATTAAGAATATTTTTCTTGTAAGAAATATTTTTATAAAATTCACGATCACTATATTTTATTCTATAAATTTGAGATTTAAGAGCTAATGATCGTAGCACCTGTACATTAATAATAAATAAAAAACACTTTAATATAAAAATAAATAGACACTGATTGTAAGTGTTAAATAAAAAACTTTGATGATTCACAGGCATGGGTGTCCAATAGGCATGTTTTGCGATCAAAATTTTTGAGGGAGACATATTTTGATGTAACTATGAATTTTGGAGAGGACCATATTTTTGAGGGATTTTAATATTTTTCAAACAAGGAAACAAAGGGGTAAAATGGAACAGATCACAGCAAGTCTTGGGAGGGGGCATTTGCATCATCCATCTTTCATCTCTTTTGGTACACAATAAATATAAGTCCCACTTATAAATGAATTCTCATTTCTTTGACTGAATATAGTATTATCAACAATTTTTCCATTTCTATTTTTCGTTGTACTTTATTAAGAAGATGAGAGCAATAAAATTTCTTGAGAGGGGGGATATGTGCCATCGAACTTGAGAGGGATGGGTACCCCAGATCAAAAATAATAACTAGTTATTCTAAACAAGTAACAAATATTTAAAGTTAGTTTGATGAGGACTTATATACTATAAGGCTTGGAAATCTGTTATTTTTCTTGTACATTGATTAAAAAATACAGATAGTTATGATAATAAACTTGAACAACAATGAAGTTCTGGTGAAAAGGAAAGTTATTGTGTGGACACAAATTAGAAGTACTAAAAAAACAAAAACAAAATGTATTTATCCAAATTTACAGAATTAATGTTAAAAAAAAATCTACAGTTAAACCTAAACAGAAAATATTTTTCACTCACCTGTCCCTCATAATTTTCATCACTTTATTGCATCTAACAAAACTTTTTTTCTCAATGACTGGCTAAAAAAAAATCATAGATATAAATTAAATAATCATGAACAATGATTAAAGGAATATATACATATATATGAAGTGAGAAACAAACTTTGTTCAGACAAAAATTGTTTTCCAAAAAAAAAATATAACCACAGGGATAGTAAAGATAATAAATTATAATAATTATCTTTCTTAAATCCTTCAGAAAAATTTAAATTTTTGTTAAATGATTGTACAACAATAAAACTGGAATTACTTGTCTATTAATAGAGAAAGATTTTATAATAGTTACCAAATTAGAGTCAATGTAACGCTCGAATGGAGGCTGAGGTGCAGTAGGAAGTCCTTCCATACATTTTGAAAGCATTCCTTCAAAATGTGAAACAGAATCTTTGGTAAGTGGCAGCCGATAAAGTTGAGCCATTATTGTTCGTATTTCACGATCTGACCATGTCCTTTATTCGACAAAATAAAACATCACAGACAGATATTTCATAATACAACAGACATTTTATAAGCCAATAATTGGGTCACAGATGAAAAACTGCAATTTATTTTAAAAATAAAAGTTGTGTAAGACAGAATAAGATAGTTTATAGTGAAATAAATGTTTTAAATAACACAATAACTCCATAAGTACATACATAAAAAACAGATCATGTTTTTTATTTACATATGAAGTCGACCCTCTTCTATTATACTTATATAAAGTGCCCTGAACCTATTCTTCTCTCCTGTACTGTCTTTATAATGCTATCTGTATCTAATATCTATACAGCAGTAGCTAAGGGTCGTGAATTTATTCAAAATTTTATATTTGAAGACTCACATAAATGGGATACCAATGAGAGTGAAGACGTTCTGAGCCTACTTGGAGACCAGATGTAGAGGAGGGTGCTCTATCAACAAGACTGCTAGCCATGCAATCCAGAAATGCTACCTATCACAGGGCAGTAGAGTAAAACGACACAATGCTGTCATAAATCTGTTAGAGGAAGCCCTCTGTAAGTAAGAAGTGTTATGAGGTAGATAAAGAGAAAATGTACGCTGGTAGTGAAAGTAGGTGGAATCCCGATCTCATTTGTTCTGGAATGGAAAAGAAATTCATAATAGATGCCCAGATCGATAGGGATAATCCGAGAACCTACTGGCACAGAAAAAAGGTTAACAAATACAAAAGTGTAGAATGTAGAATGGCAATCAGACGGATAATTAAAGTGCCCTTCATGGATATTAAAGTCTATTCCTGCACTTTGATTTGGAGAGAATGGTCAGGGATTCCATGCATAACCTTTCAGGATTGGGATTGTCCAACAGAACTATGTTTCAGATTACCTCAAGAATTCTGAATGGATCAAGCCTGCATTAATACTGTAGGCATAAATTATTACTCCACTTAAAAGATGCGAAGAAATAATTTATGGTTAATTGGTTCTCCGAATGTGATTTTATTATAATAATCTTTTTTTTTTTCTTTTTTTTCAGTTTTACTTAAAATATTCAATTCGATTTCACACTTCAATATTCAATTTTACTCAAAATATTCAAAAGGAATATTACCGAAAAAGGCAATGGGTGCGAATGAATTAGTATTTAATGTATATTATTCTATTAATATTATAGATGTGAAGTGTATTTGGATATATATATATGTATTTACAACCCCCTTTATGTCAGTAACCCTGGGCAATTGCCCCGGTTGCCGGGCCCTAAGGCCAGCATTGTCTATTTATAAATGCATAGACCTTTTTTTTGTTACTTAGTATACATACATATATTTAAAATATTAATGATGGAGCAAGTTATTATAAAAATCTTTGCATAGCTTTAGGCTGAGAATTTGTATGTTTGTGAGACCTGGATGGCTCAGTAACCCAGGATTTATGATACTTTTTTTATTATTATTTTTTTTATAGCGGCATGGATGCACTGTGGCCATGAAAGCCTCTTGTACGCCTCTATTAAAGCCTATTTAGAGCGCTATTCCTGCAGTCTCAGTAAACTGTAGTAAGCTTGTTGGATTGATGAGCTCGTTTGACTTGGGATCAATTACCCTAATATTTTTATTTTACTTTATTTATTTTTTCTTTTAAGGTGAAAGTAGCACCTGGTCAACCCTTTGACTGCGGGAGCTCATTAACATGTTTCTACCAGATGGTGCATCCTGAAATCCAAAAAGTAGTCCAGAAAAACTTTATTATTTCTAAAAAAAAAAGATAATGACGGTGGGATTCAAATTATATATTTCTTTGTATTTACAAATTTTTTCTTACCTAAAATTTCCATATTGAAAATAGCGCAGTTATAAATTTTATTATTGCACCTATATTTATATTGAGTTTCCAACAATTTTATATTATATGAAATACATATATATTTTTTAGGTGGTTTAAAACAATGATAAAACAACAAAAGTTTCACTTTAATTCTGTACATTTCTACATTCATTAATTTTTACTATTAACATTTTAATTTTTGTATATTTTTATATGTATTTATTGCATTATATATATAAAATGTAGGAAACTTACATCTATTTGTTTAGTAGACAGAGATTCATGTGAACAAAAATCGGCATTCAGTCAAAACCAAAATAAATAAAAAATTATAAAATTAACTTATTAACATGTATTTGATGTATAAAACATTTAAATAAAATATAAATAAGTTCATAGATATGACACAAATAACAGAGAAAGGTATTTTACATCTCTTGGGTTCAGAATAAATCTGATAGCTTCCAAATGGTCAGAATCCGGAATGACTGCACTGAGCAAGCTACAGGGGGACTAATGAATGTAACGACCAAGGCCACAAATCAAATGGTGAAGGTGGGACTTGCTCCTGCTTAAGTGGTGACCGCCCATGCGGGAAGGCATGTATCCCGGTCGTACCAATGACCCAATTCACTACCGGGAAAGCATATATTTGTACGCACTAGTGACCCAACTCTTAACGGGAAGGCAGGTATCCTCTCTGCAGTCAAAGGGTTAAGAAGGTAAATCGAATTGCAAAGAAAATTTTGTAAGGAAATGTGAATTACTGAAAACCAGGTATTTTCTGCCAAATAAATATATATAAATTCAAGTACATACTTTAAAAAACAATTTTATAAAAAACTTGATTTTATAAAAAAAATTTTTTTGTTTATGCCTATTTTATGATCTTAATTCCTGAGCCATAAACAATAATCTAAATTACCATGGATTCAAACCTGAACCTGTTCCAATTAATTTAGATAATTGGAGTTCTACTGTATCTGTTTGCCCAGTAGTACATTCTACAGCGAAAGTTCAACAATTTTCAAATAATTCCTTTTTAAAACTATAAAAACTCGAAGCGTATTAGAGTCGCACCATTCACAAATTATTGAGAGTCTATTATAAAACTGCTTCAAATCAAATTATAAAATTGAACATTTTAATGAAATTTCTAATTTATTACTGCACACCAAAAGAAGGTACTCTCATGTTAACTCACCCAGAATTATCTGTATCAAACTTATCAAAAATTTCGTAGTCAGATAGCATTTCTCGTTCACTCAAAATGAATTGAAAGTATGAGAATGCAAACTGCATGTCATTAGCAGAGCGAAAACGGTGAGATGAAGTTTCTTCAAATTGCTTCTGAAACCTTGAAATCAGATGAGAATTCATTTTTTTTTTTTATAAGTACACAAAATAAATAAATAAGACTTACTTGCTATGAAGCAAATTCAAAATAACCTTGTCTATCAAATGTGGCATGTGAGCAGGCACTTTCCTCATTTGATATTTATAATGTCTATTCATTAGATCATTAACATATAACAAAGACCTAGCATAAGTATCTATATCCTTTCTCAGAGTTTCATCCAAATCGCCTGACAGTGACCACTGAGCATTATATGGAAGTTTTCCTTTTTTACTGCAATATAAATTCAATAGAAGAACACAATAGAGTTAGAGATAATTTATAATAACTAATTATGCATTGGTCGAATTTTAGAGTTCGCAACACAAGATAAATATGACATTAGGGATTTGGAATCGGCACTTAGTCAACCAATAGATTTATAAATTTTTTATTCTTGATTTTATTTTCAAAACAAAATTTCAAATTTTCCTTTAGAGATGAAAGAATATTTTTGACAAAATGTGTTTGATATAAATAACAGAATCACTATCTTAGTATATATTTAATTGCTCAAATAATAATTATTAACTGTTTTCATACTGATATCTCAAAATTTAAAAAAAGGTAAATATAATTTTAAAAACAAGACCCTATATTACAAAGAAATAATTATTAGGAAGCTATCAGGTTAAAGGGGGGAGCAATATTCAAAAGTATTCAATATAATTTCCATATTTCATTTTTAAAAAAGTAATATGAAAAACTAATAATTTTACTTACGAACTATTATTGTTTAGATTATGGTCACCATTTTCTGTAAATTTATTATCAGTTCTACCCGCCAGACTCTTGGAACTGGCTAAATCTTTTGAAAATCCATAATTTTCTTCAGGAAACTGTTCTTTAAGAGGTGATTTTATGTCCTCATAATCTCCATATTCTACATCAGATTTAAATGAAGCATTTTCAGAAATACAGTCTCCTAAAACAGAATATTAATATAAGAATATCTTGCTGTACATGTTCCTACTCAATTATAGGTTGTGTTAATTAATTAAGCAGGTTACAAGGAATCTATTATAAGTAAAGATTTCTAAGATTTACAGAACACCGAAAAGAAGTTCCAGACCATACTGTTTTGTGTTGGTCACTTTGGTGAATGACTTCATCTTATAATAACCTACAAATTTTATAATAATTTCATGGCATTACAACCCGGTAACAGGTCTTGGTCTCCTCTAACTGTTTTCTCCAATCGTCACGGTCTTGCACCGACGCCATACAGTTCCTAACTCTCAGCATGCTGCAGGCATCTACCGCCACATCATCCGACCATCTCAGCCTTGGTCTCCCTCTTCTTCTTGTTCCATAGATTGGCTGTGCAAGCAATATTTTAGGAATTTCTCCATCCGCCATTCTGGTAAGATGCCCCGCATATTTTAAACGTCTCAACTTCATTGCTTTCACGTCAGCTTCCCTGAAAGCATTGTACAGCTCCTAGTTCTGGCACCGCTTCCACTTCTTTCCAACTTTCACTCTCCAAAAACATGGCGGAGAACTTTTCTTTAAAAAATAAGGAGTTCCTTTTCAGTAACCTTCGAAGTTATCCAGCACTCCGATCGATAAAGAAGTAGGGGACGCACCAATGTCTTGTAGAGGTGGAGCTTGGTCTATCTGGAAAGTATCTGCAGGCTTAGCTGCTTGCTCAATCCAAAGTAGCACTTGTTGGCCACTATGATCCTTCTTCTTATCTCAATATTGGGGTTATTATCCTGAGTGACTACAGATCCCAGATAAGTGAACTCCGGAACCTTCTCAAATTTATGAAGCCCAATAGTGACTGTTTCCCCTGGCATGGGAATTTCTTCTGTTACCATATATTTCATTTTGGATTCATTTAATTCCAATCCAAGTCTGCGGTCACGACCCATCAGTGGCAGGAAAGCATCAGTCACGGTCGTTCGCGTAAACCAACGTCTCTCACGGATTTCTGAAATGCTAGGTTAAACAACATACAGGCCAGTGCATCCCCTTGTCGAAGTCCTTTACCGGTGCGAAATTCTTCTGATCTGTCACCATTCACTCTAACCATACAACTCACATCCTTCATGGTAAGCTTTATCAAACGTATAAGTTTCTCAGGTATGTTAAATTCTCTGAAAGCACTATACAGTTCTTCGCATATTCTGCTGTCATATGCTGCTCTGAAAATGATGAACAGATGGTGAGTTTTGGTTTTATACTCATGGCCTCTTTCAAGAATGGTTCGCACACAGAACATCTGATCAGAAGTGGATCTTCATTTCCTAAACCCACTCTGGTGCGAACCGAGCTCACGTTCAGCATATGGCAAAACTCAGACAACCATTAATGGATATTGATGAGGTTCTGCAGGAAGCTGCTGCTGCTGAGTTAGGGGCGGGATGGCCAAGTGGGCTAACGCGTGTGCTTGTCCAGCAACCAGATAACCGAAGTTATGATATTAAAAAAAGTAGAAGTTCGCATCCCGGTGACAGAGGGGATTTCAAATTCCCCACCCTCACTCTCCGGCCTAGAAAAATCCCATATAGCCTTAGGTAGGGTATGAGGTAGGAAAGAACTTTTAAAAAAAATAATAAAATAAAAGTAAAGGAAGCTGTCAAAAAGAGCAGTAGAGTGGCCCCTCATGAACTTACTTCTCAGTAATCAGCTGTGAGGTTAGAAATTTGTGAAAATTTATTTAAAAACCTTCTGATTTTACCGATAGATTGCTACCTGTGTTGAAAAGAATGTTTTCTGATGAAATCCGAATACCCGTGAGCAATGGATAGATCGTGATCGAACTGCTTTTCCAGTTGCTCCAAGAGGGACATTTGAAAAAAATCCATGCTTTGTGTTTTTGGAATTTTGAAGGTGTTATTCTTCACAAATTTGTTCCTGATAGATACTCTATGACTTCTGAACTCTACTGCGAACAATTGAAAAAATTGTACACACTCAAAGAAATAAAAAATACAAATATTTGGTTGAAAAACTGTCATTTTTTTATACAGCCTATTATAACTAAAAAAAAAATTATAGTTAAAATAGTGTTCCACTTAATTCATACCTCCATCAAATGAGCAAGCTGATATGTTACAAGGGGTGTCACAAGAACCATCTTGAACCCAAGACCAGGGGCAATTGGGACTGCAATCCGGAACAGGCCAAGAGAGATAGACCTTAAAAATAAAGTAATTTAGGTAAAAAAATCTGCTTTGATCTCTTGAAAATTATTGTAAGTGATTTATAATGGATTAATATTGTTTGAATGCTCATTAGAGGAGCCAAGAGATTTGTATACACTAAATATCTCAAAATATGTGAAAACCATTGAAGTATGGAATAGTCATAAAAATACAACATTGTATTATTTGTATTTTTATAATATTATTTACAAAATTATTATGAAAGAAGCATTAAAAGAAAGATATGTAATTATTTTCTAGAATTATATTAAATAATAACAACTTAAAATAAAAAAAATCTAGCAATCTAAAAAACAAAGTTAAATAACACCTTTTGTCCATATGCAGGCGAAATGAAGTCTTCAGGCCAGACATCTTTTCCAATCAAAATATCATCATTAAAATACAAAAACTTTTCTGACAAACCAGGGATCCTTAAAAAACAAACAAAAAATAACGTAGAAAATTTAATATATTTTAATGGCAGAATATTAATTTCATAGGTTGTTACTTAAAATAATGAAAAAATCTATAAATCTTAAAATACTTAATGTATAAAATATGTCACACCAACCTGTGAATATTTACTTCTATAGCAGGGCTGCTGAACGTAGGCAAATCATTTTGATTCAGAAAAATTTCTTCATGCGTGATTAGTTTGAGTTTTTGATTATCAAGATTTAACCAATAAGGAATTTCTCCATTAGTAACTAAATAAACATTTCTAACCCAAGGCACATGTTTTGATATAGATCTTAAACAATAACGAAGTTCCTGAAATTAGATTTAAACTTTACATTAATCAGACCTAATTATTATTCTCACAAACATAAACTTTAATTTGTTAAGTAAGAAGGAAATCAGTTCACATCTAAGATTATAAAGAATTTTTTCTGAGTGGAATATGCTAAACATGTCTGTATCATATATCAATATTTAAATATATTAAATACGATAAGTACCTTATTAAATATTCTCTAATTTTCAAAATGTTTTATTTACATTAATTCTAGTGAAATTGGCGGCTGTCTTATTAAACAAGCGCAACTATATGTTATACCATCAACATGATATAAATATCCAATACCCAAAAAATGTTTTCTGAAGATCAAACATTCTTAAATTTATAATTTATAATATTTTCATAAATTCTAATACAGTAAATCAACATTTTAAGCTAATACATCATATTTAAAAGAAAAGATCAAAGTTAGAAAACCAAATACTTCTTTGTCATCGAATCGAGAAGGTCCCATATCCTCAATTTGAACTCTAGAAGGCATTTCCAAAAGCAGTAAAGCTCTTGTAATATTTAATCTCATTTTTTGATTTATTTTCATAATTCTCCATGGCCTATCCTGCAATGGAATATCAACATTCTTCACATTATAAGAAACACCAAGAAGAGGAAATAAGTTGACAGTAAAATTGAAATGAGTGAAGTTGTTTTCAAGGTGCAGTGTTTTTTTATTAGCAAAAAATTCAAAATTAAATACATTAATAACAAAAGAAGTTTTTAGCATGTATAGAATTATGTAATTTTTCTATACTTGAAATTGTCAATTTATCAATTAAACAAAATGTCAAATTTCAATATATTTATATAATCAAATGCGATTACACTTAAAAGATTATAAAAATGAAAATGAATAAATAACAGCAAATTTTACAGTAATCAGTAAATATTATTGAATAGAATAGTTACATGTAAAATATTACGAGATTCTTTTGATGTAAAAAACTCAACAACAGCAATATTTCTATAAATCCATGTTTTCTTTATGTTAGTGCCCAGCCACTTTCTAATTTTTTTATCACTAAGTTCAATTTTTTCTCCTAATAATTTTATTAGCAATGAATCTTCAGTTTTATAAATATTTAAAGCATTATGATCTGAAAAGAAGAAAAAAATATATAAGTATAAATGTAAAAAAAACAAAATCTTTCTGAAAGCCTTTCAAAACAAAAATATTTTCATTATATACAACAAAACTTAAGTATTTACATGTTTTATATAAGCTAACATGCAACTTCTATATTTTATCCGAACAAACCTGTTATCCAAAATCCTTGAGACATTCTCATGAATTGCCCATCCAAAACAAAGTCAGTACTAGTCATTTGCTTAGCAAAATCTGGATTCTCCCAACTAATCACAGTCCATGTTTTGTTATCAACCGAAATAATTGTAGTTGGAGAAGAATCTTTCAATGACTTCTTAATAGGCACCATTCTAAATAATTAAATATGAAATTACAATAAAAACAAAGCTTTTTTACAAAAATGAAAGAGGTGATTTAAAAAGCTTATCAAAACAGTGAAAAGAGCTCAGTTTTCAGTACCTTGAAGCAGTAATATGTGATGGTAAGCATATTTCATAAGGACAATACTCAGCAGCAATCTGTCGAGCTTTTGATTCATAATGCCTAATCTGGCTTTGAAATTTGGGATCAGATCCATTAACCCAAGTAATTACTACATCTATTGGATCGTTCAAACTATATCTTAAAATAACAAAATGCATTTATGTAATAGTAACTGCTAAGAGAATTGCTGGTACAATAAGAAGATACCACATACCTAAATTTTGATGGTAAAATATTATCAGGCTCAGTTGAATCGAAGTTAAATGGTAACAACTAAAATAACAACAAACATGTTTAAAGGTTCACACTTTTAATAGTTGTATCTATTAGTCTACAAACATAGATCAATTTACATTGAAAATATTGAACTGTACCTTTATGACACATAAAAACAATCCGATAGAAAATAAAAACAAAATAAATTTCAAATTTTTTATTCTGTAAGTTAAAATATCATAAACTTGGCGTTGTATAACTTTTTTCCTTTTCATTTTGGAATATTGTTGGGAACATTTTCGCTATAAATGGGCGGGGCTAGATTTTTTATTGTACGATGTAATATTGAAATTCCCAAGGAAAAACACACCTTTCCCGTTCGTCATTGTCAGCTAGTGAGGAGTACAGCTTGTACACCTATGTAATGGAACGCATTTTATATTACAATTTGAGCTGATAAGAGATAAGGAGTGGATATCATCAGAGAGGTCGTCCTGGTAGCTGATAGCTAGTTCCATCTTACGTCCAGAGATCGCAGTACTATCGCTTATGTTAATATTGAATGATTTTATATTAAATATAAATTTTATTTAAAAAAATATAGGTATTAATTTAATTAAGAGTCATTTTGTGTAATATTATTTTCAAAATTAATGCCTTTTTTTTGCAAGGGATATAGTGACTGTCACCAGCAATGTTCCTTTTCCTTCTTTAAATTTAACTAACTTTAAGGCCCCTTACACAGTAAAATATTGAAGCAATATTTTGAAGGGGTACCTTACATGGGTCAATTATATTGAGTCAATATTATATCAGTTAAGCTCTTGCTTCCATTAAAGGAAGGGATATCAAATGCCATAAAATTGTGTATAGACAAATATTTAAAGGGGGTTCTTCCTTTCCTTCCTACCAAAAAGTGTTCCCCATTTACCGAAAATATATTGATATTACATATATAAAAAAAATTCTAGAGGGATACTCAACCCCCCTAAAAAATTATAATAAAACAAAGTATTACTCACCTACTGAAACATATATTCATTTTATCTTGAAAAATACAATAAAATCGGAGGGAGGGGAATCAACCCCTCCCTCCCCTAAAAAAAGTAAAACAAATTATCAACCAGCTACTGAAACATATTGCCATTTTGTCATTTAAAAAAAAATCAAAAAAATCAGGGGTTAAATCCCTCCCCCCTCCCCAAAAAAATGAAAACAAAGTATCACCTATCTACTCAAACATGTTGCCAAGAGAGGCACAGGAAAATTGGTATCACCCAGAGCTTCTCAAGATTAGTATATATGGTTTATTATTGCTCAATATAGCCCTTACATGTACAATTATATTGACACTGTTTCAATAATATTGAAGAAGCTTCAATTAAAAAAAAAAAATTTGATATCAACCAGTTTGATTGACGTCAATATAATTGATGCCAATGTAGTCATTTCAAGGTCAATATATTAACAGAATTCGATGTTGATTGACCATGTGAGGGACCCTTTAAAGATTTTCTAAAATATTTATTTTTTCTTAAATTAAAACTATTATAAGCTGATCAGATTTTAACTGTATTGTTGGGCACAGAAATAATTTATTATATTTTATAATTTATTTTGTTTTATAGCTTCATCACTCCATTTTTATTGATTCCATTGTAAATTAGGAATGTACTGCTATATCTATTTCTAATACCTCCTATAATCTCTGTTAATTTTTACTGCCTTTAATCTGAGCTGAAATATCTAATACAATTTTTTGATTCCATATTGATTTATTTATTGGTGTAATTCACTAATAACATTGAGTTATATAGAATTAATCATGAAATAATATTAAGAAAAGTAATAAAATGTTTCTCATCCAATTTAAAATCCAAGTCATTATTATTATTATCACGGCGCTACAACTTGGTGAGGAGTCTTGGCCTCCTCCACCAGCTTCCTCCAGTCATCTCTGTTCTGTGCGGCCATCATCCAGCTCCTGACTCCAAGGACATCCCTTGAATCTCTTGCCACACCGTCTGACCATTTTAGTTTTGATCTTCCTCTTCTTCTTGTGCGGGGCTCTATCAGGATCATCCTAGAGATTGCTTCATTCTCCATTCTTGCCACATGGCCAGTCCATCTCAATCTTCCAAGCTTCATTCTCAGAACAACATCTTGATCATTAAAAGTTGAGCAAATTTCGGCATTTGTCCGTCTTCTCCAATTTCCATCAACCTCTACTCCTCCAAATATTCTTCGAAGAATTTTTCTCTCAAAGAATAAAAGGTCTTGCTCAATTTTTTTAGTAATCATCCATGTTTCTGAAGCATAGAGCAGGACTGGGCGGATTAGTGTTTTATAGAGATATAGCTTGTAACGCCGAGATAGAAGGCGAGAGGTGAATTCCTTATTATTATTATTATTTAATGGCACTACAACCCACAAGGAGTCAGGGCCTCCTGTAATGATTTCCGCCAGTCCTGTCTTCTTTGTGCACTTTCTTGTTCCCAGGATGGAGTGGGCATCCAATGTCACACCATCCTGCCAGCCCAGCCTTGGGCGTCCAACTCTTCTTTTGGCTTCGACCATCTCGTCCAGGATCTTTCAAGTTGGCTTCTTTGAGCTCATCTTAGCCACATGACCAGCCCACTGGAGCCGTCCCAATTTTATAAAACAGATGATGTCCCTATCCTTGTACATGCTCATTATTTTTTTATTTGTTCGCCTTCTCTGGACCCTCTGGATCATAGATTGGTCCCAAAATCCTCTTAGTATCAGCGCAAGTCTTCCTCCAATGCCCTGGTCAGCATCCACGCCTCAGCATCATAGGTGAGAACAGGCCTAATTAGGGTTTTGTACAGTCGCAGCTTTGTTGTTTGGGAGATTACCCTGCTTTTAAGCTGCAGGACTAGTCTAAAGTAACATCTGTTGGCTGCCTGTATTCTGTGTTGCACTTCAGCCCCCACTGCATTGTCGATTGTAATTAGAGATCCCAAGTATATAAATTCGTTCACAGTATCAAATGTGTATCTTTGAACTTGAATGTGTTCGGGTACTCTTCTTGTAGCATTAGTACTCATGTATTTAGTCTTGGATTGATTAACTTGCAGTCCAAACCGTGCTGCTGCTGTCTCTAGGCTTAAGAAGGCTTCGCTCATGGCCGTAAAAGTCCTACCTATGATGTCAATATCATCAGCATATCCAAGGAGCTGCACCGTCAGATTGAAAATAGTTCCTCCAACCTGAATTTCTGACTGCCTAATGGCTCCTTATAGGGCAAAATTGAACAGTAGGCAGGCCAGCCCATCTCGCTGCCTTAAGCCCTTGCAGGTGGTGAAAGCATCCGATAACTCCCCCTCCACTCACACAAAGCACTGAACGGACTCCATTGTTCGACGAATCAAACATACAAGTCCTCTAGAGACACCCACTTCCAGAGAGGTGAATTCCTTGCGAAGGTGAATTATTTTCGGCGCTAATTTCTCAAAGATAAAGGAGCCAATATTGATGGTCTCGCCTGGTCGAGGGACTTCTCTTGTGGCCATATATTTAGTTTTGCCTTCATTCACTTCTAACCCAAGTGCTCTGACAACAAAGCTCCAAATCCCTCTCCAACAGATTCCAACAACGAAAAGATGGTGGGTTTTAATCTGATGTTCATTTCCTCTCTTTAGGATTGTTCTGAGGCAGAATATTTGGTCTATCGCAGATCCTCCTTGTCTATATCTCCTCTTTCTCTATTTTTGCATTACAGTCTCCAGCAATTATTTTCATGTCATACCTTGGGCACTGATCAAGGGTTCATTCGAGGTGTTCATAAAAGGCGTCCTTATCTTCCTCACTCGAAGTTTCTTTCGGAGCATGCACACTAATAATACTACAATTATAAAACTTCCCATGAATCCTTAGCACACAGATATGCGGATTCACGGGTTTAAATCCAATGATCAGTTGTCTATATTGCTCTCTAACAACAAATCCTACTCCATATTCATGGAAGGTATCGCTGCAGCTATAGTATATGGTGTGTCATCTATTTTCAAGAGTATTGATATCCGGGGCTGATTTTGGTTTCGTCGAAATATAAGCTTCAGGTAGGAGGGCTTTCTAACCCTCACTCCGTACCCTAGTATACTGGTGGAACTGCCACCTTGGTGTTTGTATACCTGCATCCCCATCGGGGGAGGCTACCTAGGGGAGGTGAGGGTAGCGTGCTGTAATTAGTGTAGATGTGTGAGTGTCAGTGTACTGTTCCCCCAACCTGGAGGACCAATGGCTGTTTGAGATCCTATGACCAGGTGATGGGGCCGCCACCTCCCTACGCCAACGAAAAGATGGTGGGTTTTAATCTGATGTTCATTTCCTCCCTCTAGAATTGTTCTGAGGCAGAATATTTGGTCTGTCGTAGATCTTCCGTGTCTAAATCCACATTTGTAGGGACCAAGCCTCTACTCTGCAAAGGGTAGAAGACGCTGGAACAGGATGTTAGATAAAATCCAAGTCAGTAATTGTAAAACTCATTCCACCCTTTAGTTAACATATTATTGAATAGCATTTTTGCTTTGTTGTATTGCTCATTTGATTAGTTTTGAGAAAAGATGAATAAAATCAATTTCTTCAGAAGATAAATTGAATTGTTTAAATTTAAATTACTATTGATCCTGACAAGATATTTCTCATTTCATTTGCAATCTTTTTCCTCAACTGATTTTATTAGTTTTTATTTACCTTTTTCTTATGAAGTAGGATGGTCTGAAAACCAAACGATTTATGTAAATTTGTTTTTCTCAATCCTTGGCCTTATGATTCTCCCAAAGTAGAAAGTGATTTTTTCCATTTTGCTGTGTTTTTTCATAAATTAGTAGAGAATTTTTAGTGAGTATATTTGTGTTTCTATGTATGATTTGAAATAGAATTTTGGTAATATTAGGTAAACTTTTAGCTGTCATAAATGATTTTTAAGCCTCGCTAAAAGAATAAAGTGATCAGATTTTTTTAATCCATTTATGAAATCTATCTTGGTGACTGAAGAATATTACCTTTAGTTTATTAAAATTATTATTATTATTGAAGATTGAAATATTAGAAATATAATAAAATTGTAATTGTAAAATTCCAAAGCCTTGAATTTCTAAAATGCAGGTAAGCAAATTAAGACTTCAACATTTTGCCAATGTATGCATCATCAGGACAGAAAATCACTTCTTCAGAATGTGTTTTGATACCCTAAAGTCATGTATAGTCTCTAGTTAATTTATCTTTAACTTAAAATAAACTTTTGTACTGTGGAAATTAACTATTAATATTTTCAGACAATGAGCACTGATGAAAACCTTACAAAGTTTCATGAATGCTATTATTTATATTTGGCATTTGTTACTGTGTATTACAATGTTTTGTGTTTTACTAAAAAAATAAATATTTATAAATAAAAAAAATGAAGTGAGGTATAAAGGAAAAGAACTAGAATAACACAAAAATTGTATTCTGACAATAAAAATATATATAAAAAAATGACCAACATACTTTAGTAACACAGCAAAAAAAGTATTACTTCATTTTATAAATTAAAAACAAAATAAAAAGTTTTGATTACTGCAAATTTATAAGAAAAAAAAAAAAGTAAATTTCTATGTATGGTGTCTTCAAGGAAATTTCTATTTTTTTTCCCTTACACACTCTTCGATTGGTTAAATTAAAAGCTCTTTTATTACAGACATTCATTCAATAATTAATGATATGTCCATTTATAGATGCTATGAATGGTCTTTTAGTGTCTTTAAAAATTTAATTCGTTTTGGTAAATGACCTACATCACTGTATTTTCTTCCATAATAATTACTTCCAAGGTACAAGCTCACGATATGATAAAAACCATGCTCTATGATATCTGAGAAAAAAAATTAGTTATTATAAATTATTAATAATATTTGGAATATCTCTGCTCTCCAAGAAGAATAGAAAAAAGTATTATTTTAGAATGAAATCTTTTAGTTTAACTGTAAATCTTCGAAATGCATCTTTCCAAGTTCTTGAAAATTGTAAATAGGTTTTTTCATCTATGGGTCCTAATTTTAAGACAAGGATGTATATAATTTATACTAATTATTTTACAGGGATCTGCCATAGAATAAGATAGTTGTCTGAAAAGTCTCCATCCTGATAAATTATTCTTTATTTTCTAAAAATTTATTATTCAATAGTCCCCCTGTAAATAAAGGTGGAGTGACTGAGTGGACTAATGCATGTGTAAGATATGCAGGTTATCTGATAAACTGAAGATTTTTAGGTTTTTTTTTCTGAGTTTGAGTCCTATTCTGAGGACTTTTAATTCTAGCATTAATCTCCCACACTCACCCCTGCCCTGGAAAGAATCCCCTGCAGCCGAAAAGGTTGCAATGGATTGCAATGCAACTTTTTTTATCTATTCTATCTAATCCTAGGTTAGATAGGATAGATAAAAATAGTTTTCATGTAAATCTATACACTTCTACTAATGCTTCCACCACTTTAATTTAACAGCTTAGCACTTTTATTTCTCTCTAAAATAGTTTATGAAGGTTATGAACACCTCTTTAAATGAAACTCTGTGCTCCAAGCACAACTTTTAGTTAGTTATGGGAACATAAGAAAACATTTGAGGCAAGATTAAGTGAATATAGATGCTAGTTAAGCATCTCAAATTGTATTTTATACAAATATTGTTTATTAGAACATTCCTTTTCATCTTGAATTTATTTCACATATGACATCCTTTTGGAAATATATCAATGATTACCACCTTTAAAATTCTAAAACATTATTCCATTGTTTTAATTACTTCTTGGACAACTTTTGTGTTTTCAAAACATCTCATATTTCATTATTATATTGCAAACTTTAAAACAATTTGGCAAGTCCTCCATATTGATTTTTAAACTATTCTAGTATATTGTTATGTTTATCCTTAATTATCAAAGTTTATAAGTGGATTATTCACTTTTTTACGTTTAAATAAAATTATCGTTCTATCTATATTGTTAATGTGTCTTGTTTCCTACCCTTGTCTTCACAACCATTCTCATACCTAAATCTTGATCCAATATTAATAAAAAATGTTCTTTAGACAAATTATTAATCTTGACTATCCCTCTAGCCTATTATTCTGTGGACCTGAGTGATATCATCGTTAGTTACAATGGTCATCATCATCACCCAAGCCACATTTAAATTTTGCTTAAATCACTGAAACAGTTGTCAAATAACAATAGTGAAATTTTAGTAACTACTTTTCAAAGCACAACAAAAACATTCTCAAACTTCTGTTGATGATTGCTTTTTACTTCATGCTGAGGTCGGAACTTTTCAGACGATCCTTATACATAAGAATTTTATTATTTTGTTTACCTCCATAGTATTTATTTTTCAATTTTCCTATTTCTTCTTTTTCTACGCAGTCACCTTCAGATATTATTGGAACAGTATTTGACCAAGTTGATTTAATTTCAAACATCTGCAATATCCCTTTGAATATTGCTGTATTAAGTACATTTAGGATCAAACTTTTTGGAGGTTCTATAAAAGGCATAATCTTTTCTGAATCAGCTATATCTCTGTAGTAAGTTGTCCTTTTAATATTTGATACAGATTCAAGAAAAATGTTTCTATTCAATATTTCCCTGAAAATAAGTCACACTATAGAAATTAATTACTTCTATAGTACAAATTAAAAACTAAGAAAAATATGAATGATTTAATTGATATTATTAATCTTTGTATCTATTCTGTATTCTTCTTTACTATTATATCCATAAATCCATAATGTGATTATTAATCACAGATTTTTAAATGAACTGACAAAATGGCTGCCAAAATGTCACAAATAAAGAACAAATTAAAAATCAGGGTTTGAAATCAATAATTAAAAAAATCTTTACAAAATTTTTATCTGGAATTTTTAAAAATCATTTGATGATTTTTATTTGTGATCATAAGTGATAAAAATCATATCCTGACCATTATTTTTGAACAAAATTTTTACAATTAACAATAATAATAATTCTGGAGTAATAATTTTTAAAATCAGAAACATATATTTGATGTAATTTCTATGGTATGTTTTGAGTCTGGAGCAGTAGGTGGAGAATATTGTTGCCAACTATTAACAACAGAACATCTTTATTTCCAAAATTTATAAGTAATTTTGGCTTACAAATATATGTACTGTATACCTGTGTATGTGCATGTATTGTGTGCACAACTAAAACGATTCAGATATATAATATTAAAAAATATATACATTAATAATGTATACATACATATTAATATTTAATTTAATTTGTGAATAAAATGTGATTTTTTTTTAATCACAATTCAATCATTATTATTTATGTAAAACTGTATCACTCAGTGAGTGATTATTATTTTTAATTGAATAAATAAAGATCAAAGATAGATTTAAATTTTTATTTATAAATTAGACACGATTTTTAAATTAATCAAATATAATATTATTACATGATTTTGTGAAAAAAAAAATGTGTTTCAGCGTTCATATAAAGTGACACTTCCGGTCAGCCGATTTTAACAAAAAAGTTGCAGTCACATCCAGCCCATATACTAACCTTAAATACTTAATATCAGTTTCGTACTACTTTTCATTTATGTTCTAATTTTAATAATTACCAGAAGATACATATAGCAATTAATAATACTTATTATTATTATTATTATTAAAAGGTATTATTTCTGACTCACCTATACCCAGGAGTTGTCAAAAAATCTACTTAAACAAGTAAAAGTAATTTACATTGTTACTTAGATATTGTAACCTATTGGGATTTAAACAGATTAAGGAAGAGACAAGATTTAAAATAGAAAAGATAAAAGACTAAAAAATTATCATTAGAAAGCTGTTTCTAAAATTACAGGTATGGACTAGGGGTTACTTTTGGACCCTAATCCTTGGGTTCCTACAGGTTAATTTGGTATGATTATAAAACAAATTTGCAATCAATAATAAAATATGAATTTTATAACGAAAATAAACCTAATAATACCATTAGAAGGGAGATATATTGAGATTGAGTAGTTCTCTTCACTATGCAAGATTTACCATATAATAATTACTAACCAAATTATTCTCGTGAATGTATCAATGCAGACATCTGCTTCATATCTTGTTAATACTACCTTTAGATTCTTTTTAGATTCAATTTTAGATTGTGATAAAATTCTCATCTGATGTTTTCTGTTTGGTACAACATCATCTAAGAATCGTTCACTGATGGAGTGTAAAGATATCGTAATATTGAAGTATAATGGATAACTTTTACTTCCACCTCCGATGTCCATGTACTGTAAAAATAAAATTACTTCATTTTTTAAGAAATTCCTTGACTATTAATTAACAAAATAATGAAAAAGTGAATAAACCCAAATTAATTAATCAGTCCCTGGAGGGCCTATGTGCAAGCATAAATAGAGATAACTACCTTAGCTCCTTCACTTCTTCTTTGTCTTCCTCTTTGTGCCATTCTAGCATCGAGGAGCCTCTATCCAATGAAGTCATGCCTCTCGGTTTCTACTATGCCGCCTCATTTCCTGGAGGGTTTTGCCTCTCTTCTCTCTAATGCGCTGCATATACTCCTGATAGGAAATTCTGGGGCGGCCCCTCGGCCTCCTCCCAGTGGGTGGAGCTTCCAGAACCTTTCACGGATCTCTCTCCTACTCCATCTGACAAACGTGGCCAAACCACTGCAACTGTTTTTCAGTTATGTTCTTAGCTCCACCAATTCAAGATTCTCTCTTATGTGTTCCCTCCTGGTCTTTCTGCAGCTCTCCGCAGGAACTTCATCTCGGGTGCTGTCACAGGACTAACTTGCTTGTCCAGCATAATCCAGCTTTCGCTTCCATACGTGAGAGTTGGGAGGTATACATACATACATTGTATGTGCATTTTTGTTTCCTTGCCAACTTCCCAGTGTCCAACTATGCTGTTGCAGATAGGGAATAGATCTGGTTGGCTTTGGTTATCCTATTCACTATTTCTGGGTCAATCTTCCCTGTGTTGCTGATAATTGTCCCCAAATAGGTAAATTCTTGCACAATTTCAAATACCTCCCCATTACAGATCAGCTGGATGTCCTCTTGTTCATCTCTTGATATGACTAGGACTTTGCTTTTGAAGCTATTGATAACCATACCTTTGGGAAGGAGTTCTTCCTGCCATTCTGCAAGGGCCTTGTCTTTCATGTTCTCAATCAGAACGTTGTCATCGGCATATAGTAGGTTTTGGACCATAATATTCAGGCATGTTCCATTTCCCGGTGACTGCCCAAGTCCAAATTTTATGAATTTTATCCATAAATATGATGAACAAGAGGGGACTAAGGCTGTCTCCTCTCTCCATAGGAAAAGGCTTGGACTCTCTACCATTAATCCTTACAATTCCTTTTGCTGCCTTATAAGCTGATCTAATTGCCGTGATAAGATCAGCTCAGACATTTTTTGCCACTAAAGAATCCCATATTTTTTGTATCTGAGCAGAGTCAAATGCTGCTCTGCTTTGAGGTCCAGAAATACCATATATATGTTCTTGTCTCTGTCTCATGCTTTCTCTGTGATGCCTCTTAGCACGGAAATGTGATCTTTAGTCTGCCTGCTTGTTCACTCTCTATTTGGTTCTCAACTACGAGCCTTAATTTTCTTTCTAAGATTGAGGAGTATAATTTGTAAACCACTGAAAGTAAGCTTATTGGCCTAAAGTTTCACAATCTGTGGAGCTGCCCTTTTTATGAATTGGGACAATTACCTAAGGATTACCTTACGTTACTATAGTTATTCCACAGAAAGAGGGTGATCATCACTGAGCACAGCTCCCTGATTTATTCTCTGACTTATGTCATATACAAATTTTTTTGGGGGTTGAGTAAATTCAAGAATTAACCTTTAAATCACAGTTCCCATTTGAATTAATTTTCTTGCTTAATTTACATTATAAATTTGGGTTTCAACCCATTTGAAACAGATTAACACTATAAAAAAAACGATCTTATTATCAATAAAAAGAATTATTGATATTGATTCATATGAGTAGCTATGGTATAGAAAACTAAATTTAAGATGTGAGGAGTAATATAAGACGGACCACCAATCTGGTCCGCATTAGCAATTTTGTTTTTTATATGTTTAAACCAATATATTCAATTTAATAAAATAAAAACTTTTTCCACATTTTTTGTAATATATTTCCCATTTTGATTTTCAAGTTACTGGTCTAATCTTCTTTAAATCTGCCATAATTTTTTAAAGCAATGGGACTGGAATGACAGACAAGATTCATTTTACTTAGAATAAAATACACTTTCATAATTTATATTCAAAGCTTTGTCTGCTATCTCACTTTTTGGTCCCTAACTCCAGGGCTAAATGAAAACTTCATAACTACTTGAGTCTGTTAAAACCATAGAACTCAAAAGTTTATATACTAGGAGAGATTTGAAAATTGTTATGGAAAATTACTTTTTTATTTCTTATAAATTAATTCTAAAATTGAGGTATCTGTTTTATTGATAAAATATGAGGTTTTTATTGCCTCTTAACAATATATTTCCGTGATAGTTGTTAATTAAGAAGAATAAATGAAATTGACCAAGTGATATTTCTATATAAAAAAGTTTTTTTCTATTCTATCTAGATCTATATTCTGAAATATCTATAGAAAGTTTAACGATGATTAAACAGCCTATGGAATCTCTTAGGCCATATCATTTCCTCAAATCTCAATGATCAAAGACCAACACTAATTCTCGAATTATCTAGATCTTTCGAATAGTTTTAACAATTTTATAACTTTTGATATTCAAAACTATTATACTATTAAATTTAACAATTATTATTAATTAAAAATAAATTTAACAAATAATCAATTCTCAATAAACATTTGTAAAAATCACTATATAGTTTTTATATCACATAACAGCAGCGGAAATGCGGATCCTACATAGATTGGTGGAAAAATTAGAAGAGATCGCATTAGAAATGAAACTATAAGAGAACAGCTGGAAGTACCTAAACTCAAATCCACTTTGGAGAACAGGCAACTAAAATGGTGTGGACATGTCTGTCGCATGAACAAGGACATGGACCTCATAAGTGTATCCAAGGCTTGATCCATAGAGAAGAGACGATGAGGGCGTTTCAGAGTTTCATATCAGTTCATGCAGAGGATCGGAGGTAGAAGAGGCAAATCCTTCAACCAAATAAAGCGATTAAGCAGAGACCGGGAAGAGTGGCTGTGCTGAATAAAAGCTTATTTCAAAGTTTATTTCCGAGGCTAGAAATGGTATTGTGAGGGAGACAAAGAAGAAGAAAAAGTATTTTATATAATACTTTCATTTTTATATAAAACTTCCAATTTCATTTCTTGATAATTTACTTTGTATCAACATGTCTTTACTTTGGTCGAACCTTATTTCAAAGGATAATAATATAAAATAAATAAAATACTAATATATTTGTCATTTGCTGAGATGGTGAAAAATAAACCGAATACTTACAACAGGAGTAAAGTCACTCTTCTCTGTTAGTGTGAAACAAGAATCAAATATTTTCCCATACTTTCGTATGTTCTCCACTTTGGACGTATGTGATTGAACTCTTTCAAAGTACACAAATTTGCATGTGATAAAAATGGTCATTCTTGATGGAATGCTTAATGATTGAATTATAAGCTGAACTGGTTTAAGTTGGTTTGGTTTCAACACTCCCTCCTGAGGAAGAGCCTTTACATCAAACCAAGCACCGAATCTTCTCCTAAGAATACTTTCAGTCAGTTGATTAGGAGTGTATCAACATTTAAATTGCTTAAACATCATTTTTTAAGCATGAGAATTTATTGTTTTTGTATTACATGATAAATTAATAGGACTAAAATTAATAAAATACTATACAGTAAATAATTTGTCAAAATATAGTTCTTTTTTTTAGGAAAATATTTTTAAAAATCGTTGACTGATTTCACACAATTTCTATATTCATTAACTTTTGGTTTATCAATAAACATGTACAAAGGGATTGCTGGGTGTTTAGTTAAATTGATCAGTTTGTAATTGAAATTCTAATTCCCTAAAGTGAAAGGTAATATAAAACTTATCATATTATAATAGTTGCATTTCTGAATAATAAAAAAAGTAGCTGCATTTTTCTAGTTTATTATATTAAAGTAATACTATTGTCATTATTTAGTACACCATTTTTCATACGATTTCAAAAAGAATAGCATGTATAAATATTTATGTGGCCATAAGAGAAGTTTAAGACCATCAGAATTGAGAAAACATCAGTATTATTTTAATATAATAATAATAATAATAATTTATTCTGGGAAGAGTCCCTTTAGAATAATACGGAAGAACAGAAATCTGGGCTAAGGAGCCTCAAAGATACATAAAAAAATGCTGAGTAATTAAATAGTCTTAATAAAAAATTATAAATTACTTTCTAACTTAAATAAGTTAATCCTAAAAAATCGAAAATAAAGTAAAAATAATGAAGAACGATCTAATAATTTATTTACATATATACAGTGGTATCTATTTACAATTTTATGGGGACTGGGTGGATAAGAAATGATTGAACAGGCGGGATTTAGAGGTAGGAAGGGTATTGGATTGATGGATGTGGGAAGGGATGGAGTTGCATAGGGATGAGGATTGGATAATGAACGATCTGGAGAAAGCAGCGGTTCAGTGGACCCTTATGTATAAATCGGAAGACCTGGATCGAGTATTGTGGGAGCGAACAGAGTATTTGAATTGGAGGAGCTCGGAGATGTATGAAGGTTGGTGGGATTGGATGACTTGAAAGAGGAAGGATGCCGTAGTAAGTATTTCCTGGCATCCTTCCTCTTGCAAGTCATCCAATCCCACCGTCCCTTATTATCCATCCAGTCCCCATGAAATTATAAATAGATACTAAAGTAAATATGTATATAAATTATCAGTTCGTTCTTCATTATTTTTACTTCATCCTTTTTTTATCAATTTTTTATTTTTTGTTATTAACTGATTAAAATCATAAAGTAACTTATAATTTTTCATTTTTTTACTATGACCGTTTAATTACTCTATATTTTTATTTATGTATCTCTAAGACTCCTTAGCACATATTTATGTCTTTCTGTATTATTCTAAAGCGACTCGTCACAGAATAAATAAAGTATTATTATTATTATTACTATTATAATATATATATATATATATATTTCATGAAACACTTAATACATAACATACGTAGCCCAAGAAAACTGCACTGCCTCGTTCATATTATTTTTCAGGAATACCATTCTTTCTTTAGTTGAATGGAGTAGCATAGGTTTCAAAGCTATGTTGTCAATTGATATTTCTATTTCTTCTGTTTCTTCATTGAATAAGGATATTAACGGCACTTTACACAGCATTGGATAAGTACAGTAGCAAGGGGAAATTGAACCCACTCCCATCATATGAAGCACATAAGTTGCATGCGGAGTGATTAAATTGAATGACTTTATATAAGTCTTGTATTGATATGGGTTAAATTTATATACAATTGGGTGAGCTGAATATGCGGCTATTAATCCTTTGGTGTGAGGAAATTGAAAAATTTGAAGATCATCTGAGGTATCATCTTCGATTTCATATGAAATTTCTTCACTGAAATTATTGTATGTCCATACGACCTACATCAAAGTATTAAAAACAGCTTTAGCAACTGTATTAAATTTTTCAGTATTTTAAAAATTAATTGAAATTAGCTGTTTCGTTAATTCAATAACTGAAATTTATTACATACTTGTTCTGGCTTACAGGGATCTCCAACGTATACCGGGTAAACGTCTACCATGACAGTAGTAGCTAAGGAAGTAGGTTGGTTAAAATCAAGGTACTTTACACCTGCCTTCCCACAAACCCTCTCAACCCATAGAACTGTGTAACCACGGATATTCCGATCTTGGGTTGCTGTCACAGACAGAATAAATTTGAATGATCTTTTGCTGTATTCTGTATAAATACAATTAATAGTCACTATTCCTTCCTCTTTTGGCTGAAAAAAGCAATATCTTGTTCAGTTCATTTAAATAATCAGTAATATCTATCAAAACAGTTATTTTGCTTAACAGCTCTGCTAATATTTTTTAATGCTTATATTATTGGTTTTACAAAAATTATGTTAAATCTGTTATTCTTTCTCTTGTATGCACCAACTAGATACTCAATAATGCTTATGTTGCTTATCATTTATTGTTTAAGAGATTACTTACTCATTTTTATATTTTTAAAATCCATCCGTCATAAATAAATTTGATTCTGTATATGGTTTTATATATATATATATATATATATATATATATATATATATATATTTATATTAAAACATGGCGGCTGTGATCTGTGGGAAGAAATTCATGACTTAATTTGGGCCATATGGATGGAAGAAAAAATGCCTGAAAATTGGACAAGAGCAGCTACATGTCCAATACACAAGCTAGGAGATAAGTAGTCTACAGGGGTTTCCATTCTTCCTAAGATCAATGGCGCATGAACCTCCCTCCTCAAGATATTTTGTTGCTCTCCCCTTCTTAAAACATTAGAAATTAAAGTACCGTAAATCATACACAATTACACTAAGGCTTGTTCCATATATTTCCTTTATCTCCTTGTTTGAAACTTTTCAATCCAAAAATTCATAATGTAGAGTTAATGCATGCTATCTGGCGGCACTGTACCTGTTGTAAACAAAGGCAGGTTGGCTTGGGTGAGGTTACCTGCAGATTAGAGTAGTCCTTTGTTCCTGATAGTGAGATGTTTATGTAGAGCAAAAAAGTGTTGTGTATTGTGATGTAAAAGTTTATCAACTATAGCCTCATTGGTTTCCTTAAGTGATTTCCTGACATCACACAAAATGTACCCCCCTCAAAAATTGTGATGACTCAACTTGTGCCACGAAACTCCCTTGTGGGCACCCTTGTTGCTCTATTAAGTACAACCTATAAAATATTGGCAGTACTCCTACTTATTAGACTGACAGATTTCACTGAAAAATCACAAGAGAATATCAGGCAGGCTTTATGCCTGGAAGATCAACAGTTGACCAGATATTCTCTCTGAAACAGGCAATGGAAAAATTTTATGAATTTAAAATAGACATGCATCTTCTCTTAGTGGACATCAGTGGATAGGCGTATGCCAGTGTAGACAGAAAGGGACTTTTAAAATCTATGATAGATGTAGGCATACTCAAGAAACTAGTCAGACAAAAAAAACAAGACTACTTGCCGAGTAAAACTTTGGAACCATCTACAATTGTCTGTCTCAATATATGGCATATGCCGATGATGTTGCCATTACCTCTAGAACCCAAGCAGCATTATCAGGAACTTTCCAGGAATTCAAAGAGACAGCAGCTAAACTGGGCCTTAGTGTTAATGGAAACAAGACGGTATACATGAAAAGTTCAAAAATGGAAAAGGAAGTGAATATTGGAATAGCTTTAAGAAATCATAACTTCAGGTCTGTTCAAGTTCAAATACCTTCGAAGCCTGGTCACATGGAATATCAGCAGGAAATAGTTGCTATTTCTCACTGCAAAGATACTTGAAATTTAGATCACTCTCTAGAATAATAAAAATCCTCATCTACAAAATCATAGTAAGCCCAGTGGTTATGTATGGGTGTGAGACTTGGACCTTAAAGGATTTGAGACCTTATTGAATTTGGGGAAGAAGAAAGAATGAGGAGCTGTTTTGTTGTTGATTTATGTAATTTATGATACATCATAATTAATTTAATGCTATCTGCAACATATTTTTCTTAACTGTGCACAAAAAAAAAAAAAAAAAAGAAAAAAAGAAAGAAATAGTTTGGTGTATTACAACCCAGAAATCTGGGCAAATCAAAGGCAAAACGCATTTATCATTAAATGTTTTTGAAAATATATGAATTTAGCTATTAAAATCCAGTGGAATGAATACCAGAAAAGGTGTATAATATTTTTAGATGTAGAATCATCAAAAAATAAATTGGTTGAAATTAGTGACCTACTGACTGTGACCTCTCCTTATAGTCATGAGCCCATGACAAAAAATATGACATACTAATGTTTGTCCTTAGAAATTGACCATTCTAAAGTCCTGGTGAGAAAAATGCATGTCTCCCAGCATATAGCCACTGGAATACAAAATGGAGTCTAGGTGAAGATAGATAGAAACAATATATTGGTAGAAAACGTAAATTTAGAGAGGACCCATAGATATAAAAAGCTACCTACTCTTTAAATTTATTGTCTTAAAATTATTTTGGCCTATCATTTTTATCAATATTTGCTAAACTAACTCTTTATATTTTCATTTTACGAAAAGGTCATGTGGAAGAAAGTGTTTTAATATTAAATTTTCTTTAAGAATATATATTACCTAACTACCTTATCTCCAACCATTCAAAAGCTAGAGCGATTATAACTATGTTAACTCCAAAACTATGCAAAAAATCTTACTATTTGTAATTTTCGTTATTTCACAGCTCTTAATCTTTATATAACCCAACATACATATGTATATATTGTAAAGTAATGTATATGCTTAAAGAAAATTTAATGTTAAACAACTTTCTTCGACAAGAACTTTCCGTAAAATGAAAAAGATAAAGAGTTACGAAGTCGAATAATAATCCGAGGCAAAAACAATTTTTTTTTCAAAGTTAGTGAATTACGATGACGAATATCTTGGAAAATATAGAAGATACCGACAAAATAAACATAACCATTTATGTTTCCAATTTTATCAGTTTTTAATTTTACATAGGACATTACTATCGCTAGAACGCATAGTTGCACTGATTTAAGCGATAAACCTAAAAAAGTGAAATTATTTAACCGTAAATTCAGTTTTTCGACTTGAAATCCATTGGAATGTGGTAATTGACTAATATTTCATGCCAGGGATAGCCAGTCAAAGACAAGACATTATTGTATTTATTATATACACGCAATAAAGGTAACGCATACCGATATTTAAAACAAGCGACGCCCTTTGAGTACTTAAGAAAAAGTTATATCTGCAGCTCTTCCAAGTATGGGGCGCCCTAAGATATTTTTTTATTTACACGCAAACCTCAGAGTACTTTTTTTTTCTATTTCCTGGTTTAAATGTTCTTCTTAAAATTGAAAACCTAATTGTGCCCCTCTCATGCCTTAAGGCAGTAAACACTATAAATTTAAAGGGTTGGTAGCTTTCTATGTCTATAGATCCTCTCTATATAAAAGTTGTCTGTTTATACTGGTTCTCTGTCTTCAAATGGCTGCCATTTTTTATTCCTGCAGCTATATGCTGGCAGATGATTTTTCTCTTGAGGCCTGTGGACATGGTCAATTTTAAGGACAAACTCAGTTAGTAATATGTCACCTTTTTTTGCCCCGGACTACCGTCAATTATTCTTTAAAACTTGTAGTGCCAAAATATAATTGTTTATTAACTTGATAGGCTGAACCTATCAAGATCTCTATGAAAATATATAATTATTTAACAGTGGATGAAACATTAATTTCTATTTTCTTGACTATTTCTATGTTATCACGTATAAAACAAGATTATTTGTTTTTCAAACCTTAAACACGTGTTTTTCAAAAATGAAAGTTATCTGTTCTTCGTGCCGACACTTTATAACTGTTCTCCTCAAACTAATGCTCACATCTTCTATTACAGGCTTACAGGAGCAAAGTTTTTCAAAAACGATGTCAAGTTGTGCCTCATGAGCGCTTACATTTTTTACTAACAAGTCTACACGTAATGGTGGTTTGTTGAGGGATCCGACTGGTAGCTTCATGTATACTGAATTTTCTTTGTCTTCAGGTATAAACTTCAGTCGTCCCAGAGTCTCATTTAACCTGATAAAACAAAGTTTTTTTTTTATCATCTGCGCTCGTTATCAGGAATAAAGTTCTGAATGTTTAAATTTTTACTTGTTGATCTGTAACTTTTCCCACATAAAATATTTGGCCAAATTTTGATGAAGCTTCGATACTCTTATATCGATGATTTCGAGTTTCGGAGCAGAGCAATTGACTTCAAATGTCATCAGTGAAGTAGGGGTGTCTTCAATGTGTTTCGTGAGAGTTTTGTCAGTGCAGAGAAAATATACGATCTTCATCTTTTTAAAGCCGACCTCATGAGGGCAAACCCCTACAGTCACCTGTAAGTAATTATTTTAGTAACTGAATTTAATAATAATTACTACAGTTTATAGTCATTATAATGTAAACAGAAATATTCTATAGATTAAGATTTCTACTCAACTTAAAAAAAGGAGGTTCTATTCGATATAATTTTCTATGTATATACAGTGGCCAGCAAAAGCAGGGATCGAATTTTTTTTTTTTTTTAACAAATGAATATAACTTTAAATGTTTGTTCAACTTGTATCAACAAGAGATTAAAGGTAAAAGTTATTTTAAAACTTTAAATAAAAGTTCTAGCTTAAAAAATCTTTACATGTATAAATGCCATAAAAAAGTATTTGTAAAACGTTTACTTATTCCATCTAAAATAAATTTTTTAAGTACAAACAATAATAGAAGTTCATAATGATTACACTACTCAGTACTCAGTGTAAAACTAATGAATTCCAATGATCCTGGAAAATATTTAAATGTTAACTTTGTAAAACATTATACAATGCAAAGTTTTACGTATTAATAAAAAAAAAAATCCTTAATAGAAAATTTTGATTCATAAAATTTACAACTGTATTAAAATAAAAATACATCTAGTAAATGTGACCAGAGAAATATAACAACGCGTTAAAACTTGTAGAAAACCATTGTGAGCTATGTAATAAAAATTCAACTCCAGGACATCACGATACCACCTTCTTTCTTATGTATCTTAACTAGGTATATTATTGCCTTCGATATCTTTACATCCGTCTTAGGTTGTTAGGAAAATATTAATGGAAATTGTTAGGGACATATTAGAGTGAACGAACCAGTTATGGACAGGGGGCCCAGTGAAGGATTGGTTGTACTTTAAATGTAAATAATAAGCTTCATTGTTGCTTTAAAGGTTCAAGTTTTTTATATATTGAAGAACAACGCCCTTTATTGACAACTTTATGAATAAAGTTCCTAAAAGAAAATTTTAAAATGCCTATCATTGTTTTTTCTATAGTGCTCTTGAGATCAGTGTGTTTCATACCTTTCTATTAACAGTTTAGCTAAGAGTAAGTTGAAAATTTATCTTATATTATCTTTATTGTTTAACAAATATTTTAGAATTTTTGTGAGGTGTGCCCATTACCTGGTACCGACCCCCTATCCATTACTTGAGCAATTGAATTTTTGGGTGTCCAACTAGTGCAAAAGCAGTTTTTTTATTTTTAAATGGAGATTATACCTGCATAACTGAATATTTTTTCAATTTTAAAGTGTTAAATAGAAAAAGGAGACCCTAGAAATTCTAGACGTCAAATGGAGAAGTTTATAATCTGAAGTCTACAATAATTACGCCGGCATTAGCCAAAAAAAAAAAGTTAGCTATGTCCATCACTGGTATGCTTATCCTAATAGCAGATACTTAGGAGTATAAGAATATTTTAAATTGGTGTAGCGGATTCAGGATTTTATTTTGGAAAGGCTTTTTATTTTTTTACAGTGATAAATCACTCAGAAAGAAGAATATGAACAAAATTAAGTTAAAATAGACCTTGAAAGCCAGTTAAAAAGAAGCTTAGATTATAGCAACAATAATGCCTTCAGCAGTAATTTCTTAATATTTTTTTAAATTTATAAATAGAACATGTTGTGATTGTTCAAGTATTTAACAAAAAAAAAAGTATTTAGTTCAGATCACAGAAGCAAATATGGACCACAGAAAACATTTTTTTTTTTTTCATTTTGTGGTAAAACCACTTCTCCCCCTCTGCGTAGATCGGCTAGTGCAGTGTTCCATGGTAACATCCGCGTTTTGCGTCTCCAACCACGGTGGTTTCCACTCCTGAGCGAAGGTGGTTTAACCATCCGACTACTAATCGAAGTTTTACTGTTCGTAGACATCAATCTCCTTAACTATCTACCAAAATGTTTAAATAGAAATGCTAGCACATATACTCGAGATGGGTAGGATTATTGTTTGTTGTAGCTTATTCTTTAATAATTAATTAGTTATTGATAGGATATTGGGACAAACTGGCTTAGACTGATTTAGATGAATTCAATGACATTGATACCATCTGACTTATTAACAACGGAAGTAATGGAACTATCTAAGGAGGGAAACTGAAACGCAGAATATTTGCGACATCGGACATTCCAGGAAAAATTATTATCGAACGTAAATCCAATATTTTTGAATCAACTAGAACAGTGTCGGGAAAAATTTATCTTAAATAAAAGATAATAGATAACGAATAATTTATTCGTACTTTTCAACTACAAATAACGAATAATTGTTTTTATCTTTTATCTAGATAATAAATAAATTCATGTTATCTGTTATCTTGTTTATTTGTTATTCGACTTTTTTCAAATAAATTTCGAATAATTTGACGCTAATTTTATTTTTCTTCTATATACGGGCCAATGTGTATATTTTCAGATCCATAGTTTTTGAAAATTATCTCCATTTTAAGATTACGCCACTGCATTGCGACTTTTTTTTGAGTTTTTAGGATTTCTTCTATATCAGGGTTTTGGAGGTGATTTTTATGAAAATACTGCCGGATTTGAGATAGCGCCTCCCCCCTCCTCCCGAACTGACTTTTTATAACTTTTCAGATTCAATTGATATGAGGGTCAACTATTATGTTTTGGGGGGCCCTTTTTATGAAAATCCTGTCGGATATGAGATAGCGCCCCCCCCCCCCTCCGAACCGACTATTTGTAACTTTTCAGATTTAATTGATATGAGGGTCGACTATTATGTTTTGGGGGAGCCCTTTTTATGAAAATCCTGTCGGATATGAGATAGCGCCCCCCCCCTCCGAACCGACTATTTGTAACTATACAGATTTAATTGATATGAGGGTCGACTAATATGTTTTGGGGGGCCCTATTTATGAAAATTCTTTCGGATTTAAAATAGCGCCCCCCCCGAACCGACTTTTGTTAACTTTTCAGATTTAATTGGTATGAGGGTCGACTAATATGTTTTGGGGGGCTCTTTTTATGAAAATTCTGTCGGATTTAAAATAGCGCCCCCCCCCTGAACCGACTTTTGGTAACTTTTCAGATTTAATTGGAATTAGGGTCGACTAATATGTTTTGGAGGCCCTTTTTATGAAAATACTGTCGGATATGAGATTACAAAAAGTCGAAGCGGGGGATGGTGGGAGGGCGCAATCTAAAATCCAATATTATTTTCATAAAAAACCCCTCCCCCCCAAAAAAACATAATATTCGACCCTCATATCGATTCAACCAAACAAGTTACAAAAAGTCGGTTTGAGGGGGGTGCTATCTCAAATCCGACAGTATTTCCATAAAAAGGGCCCCCCAAAACATATTAGTCGACCCTCATATCAATTAAATCTGAAAAGTTACAAAAAGTCGGTTTGGGGAGGGGGGAGGTGTTCTATCTCAAATCCGACAGTATTTTCATAAAAAGGGCGCCCTAAAACATATAAACAGACCTAAATATCGAAGAAATTCTAAAATTTCAAAAAAGATTATTCGAATCGGATTTTCATCTTAAATAACGAATAATAGATAACAGATAATGCATATTATTTGTAAATAACAAATAACGAATAATCATCTGTCCAAAGATCGTCGAATAAGAAATAACGAATAAAAATTTATCTATTATTTGTTATCTAGATAAAATTTCAAATAATTTATTTAAATAACGCCCAACACTGAACTAGAAGTATAGGTAAAGTGTGATTCAACTAGTTTGAGCTTTCCTTACATGGGAGAAGTGGATTCTAACACAATATAAATATGTCTTTATACTAACATTGTAATGTGCTAATACAATTATAAACAAATACATACGGCTAATTTAGACATTGCTGGAATGATGAAGGACTTAGGTTCCACTTTTGTAATAACGTCTTCGTCACCGTGTGAGCGCGGCATTCCTAAAGTATCAAGGAATGCATCGCATTTGCCAATATTTTTTATCTTGAAGGTACCATAAATCCAGCAGCTCATCAAAGTCTCCCCCAGGTAGAGGCTGTTCGGCATGGCCTGGGTGATAGAAATTAGTCCAATTAATTAGTGTTAATCAATTGCTACATTTTCATAAAATAATTAATACATATCCGCGCAGACCCTCAATGAAACTTCGCTGCAGGCGCCCTTAATCTTTACAATACTGCATGATAAATGTTTCTGGCCAAATGAGGTCACGTACTCCATGTCGAATGCTACGTGTGACTCAACTTTTCCGTAACTGTGTGGGTTAAAATGCAAAGTTATGTGAATTAGCTCATTTGGACCAATAAATTGTTCCTCTGGGTTCTCGATGTAAAATGGAGTTTCTCTATCATGGATTTCCATCCAGAATCTAAAAAAAAAAAAATGAAATAGAATAACATGTAAATGTAAATTATTTGAAAAATAAACGATAAATAATGCTTTAAAATTTATTCATTTAAAACTCAGTAATTATGATTATACTAAAATAAGTTTATACTAGTATACTACACCGCAATAGCGGATCCAAGATATAATATTGGAGGAGGGCTTCAGCCTGAAAGCTATATATATATAATTATCAGAATTCTTAATCAAAGTTCTATTTGTAAATTATACTGCGTATACAGCTACTAAATACTACCATATTTTATGAAAAAAATTATCCTTGAAAGTATTGTTCGTGTAATTGCAATTTTTTTTTAATTGGTGTTCATCAACTAGTCAAAGATCATTTTAAACAGGTAGTTTCTTCTTCTTCCAAAAAATTATCGTTATATATATATATATTATGTACATCAATGTAAATGCATATCAAAATAAATTTTTGATTTACAGCTCTTTAAAAAGAGGATAAAATGATGAAAATTTCCCTCCCTTACAAAATGCAGTTCCTAATTATATTTCCGTGATATTTTAATGCCTTTTCGGCTCTCTAATAAGGCGTTGCGTCAAGATACACAATTATGAATAATGCCTCATCGCAAAGCGGATGAAATGGTAAAAGCCACATGGAAAAAGCCTTCAATTAGTCGAATCCGGCCGACTTTACCCGAACGTTACACATCGGAGATCTGATGGTTCAATTTAATTCACTCTCCACAAAAAAAAAAGTCCAAAACGCGCCTAAAGGAGTTTTCGCTTCAAAAAATGTGGACCAGTGAAAAATTTTTTTTTAAGACTCATACTTCGGTTATCAGGTTGCCGGGCAACGCACGGTGCTATGCACACGCGTTAACCCGCTCGACCATCCCGTTCCCCCCCAATAAAAAAAATCTGGTGTGTCCACTCACACGACTTTCCTACCTATTTCAGAAAAGTTTTTATATCTTTACATATGTCCATCAAGGAACAAAACAAAAATTTTAAAAATTGTATTATATTTATTTTCCAGAAAATTAATCGAAGAAAATATTTGAGTACGATTTATTTGATAAACTAAAGAAATGTAAACACCTTAGATCAGTGTAAAAATTTTAATACCCTCTAATATTGCTAATCAAAAACTTTTTGCCGTAGCTTAATTTTGTCAAACAATAATTTCTGTTAAAAGTTAAGGAAATAGTGAAGCTTGTGTGATGCGGGCAACAGATTTTCTTACTTTTCACTTAGTCATCTTTTTTTTTCTCATTCACCTCTTTCTGACACCAGGATATGAACCTGTTATCTTACATTGAAAATATAATAGCTATAACTTCGTTAATAGTTGTCCAAAATGAACGATTTTTATATAGCTTTATAGGGAATTGTTTTGTTGAATGTTTTTCGAACTCATGGGGCTCTGAAACGTATAGATCCGTCGAAAACCGCATATCGGAAATTTGATCCGATTGCAATACTTTCCTTACCTAGTATAGGTAGGAAAGTAAAAATTGGTGAAGATTCTTTCTTTAGCATGACTATTACGGTAACAATTTACTGTATATTTAATTAGCTTTCCAGACTGAAAAAATCTCTCCGGTTTAATATTTAGGCAATAGGGCACTATTATCTATGAAGTTATATTAATCCATTATTGTACTATCTCAAGACTTATTTGTTTAATACAGAAGAACGTTAGTTTATAGTTACTTAGAGTATAGGAGGAATTAAAAATATCAAAATGTTGCTTCCAATATTATCCGACGTGCCCAAGGGGTGGTAGAGCTAATCATTTACGTTTTCAATTGATTTTTAGAGAGTAGTGGACTGTAGTAAATAGAAATATTTCAGTTTTTAAATTATAAAATAACGTGATAAGTATCCATGACAACCATAGATACCAACGGGTTTTCAGCATAGATTTCGGCTCATTTCGAAAAGGTGACATTTTTGTTCTTTGAAACGCAGTCTTGATGTCCGCTAAAATTTATTAGGAATCGTAATAGTTGTTAAAGCCTTGGCATAATAAGAAAAATACTAGGTAACTAAAACATTAAAAAAAGAAATGTTACTTTGTCTTCAGCCGTGTATTGTTTTTTACAGGCACTGAAATCGCTATATCGGAATGTAAGCTTGTATGAGGAAATTTGATTGGTTTGCGATCACCAAAAATCAGAAATAGCTCTTCGGCAGTTGTAGAGAACTGAACTTCCACCTGTAAAGTATCACTAAATTAAATAATATTCAGTTTTAAATCAATATACAGGCGGAGGAAATTCAAGGAGAGGAAGCAAATGAAAAAAAGTTGAAACTAAAGATTAATTAAGATGTGGGGGAGAGGTGGTAAAATACATTAAAACGAAATCTATACCGATATTTGTACGCATATTTAACTTACACTCATCAAATTCAATAAACGCAAACTATGTTGAAAATACCTTTTGAAAAAAATTGATTACAAGAGTCCATTTTTCTGTGTAAGCAGTATCGGCTTTACAATCTGGGAGAAATCTGAGAGCAAAAGTTTGAAAGCCCTCTCCTTCTATTACACCATGGAGGGGCTTCATATTAAGATTTCTGCAAAACAACTAGTGTTGAAAAAAGTGAAATATCTAATTTATTATAAGAAGTTATTTGTATTATTCAGATATGAAGACTCTAGATAGTATTGGGTTGGCAAATAGATCCTTTGGTTTTTTTGGTTTATTTTTATTTCACTACCATATGCCTACTTCTTGACAGACGAATTACTCCCTAATGTGGTTGTTAGTTTGTCCTATTTGTGATATGTCAACAACTATTTCTGTAAACTCTTGTTAAAATTAGATTGGCATTGTATTTGCTATTTCATCGACAACGAAAAACAGGAACGACGACTCATTTGTCAATCCAATATTATCATATAAAGAAGAAGAAACCTTTTTCCTTTTAAATTTTCAAAATTTTGGAGAAGAAATTCTAATAACAAAAATATTTTTTTTGACATACGGGTAAATATATTTTGGATCTGGTATGATAAACGTTTCGTTCAAAAATATTACTATAATTTAGTAATTTTTTTTATAATTAATATAATATTTTACTAATACTTACTAATATTTTACTAACTGTCTTCATATTTTTCTTAACAATATATTATATTATTAAGAAAAATATGAAGATGAAAGAAAATTTCATTCATTATCAGCAAAAAATGTGGAGAACTGGTAAATTGGAAGGGTTTCTTTTCTACAAACGCAAGGTTAGGCCCCACACCTCTTGTTCACTCGCAATAAAGTATTAAACTTTAGCTGGGAGCTTTTTTAGAAGGGCGGGGTGGCCGAGCGTGCCAACGAGTGTGCACAGCTCCGCGCGTTGCCCGACAACCTGATAATCAAGGTATAGACGAAAATATAAATATTAGTTCGAGTTCACGTACCGGTGCCTGGGGTTCTTTTAACTCTGGCATTGACCCCAAGCCCTCACCCCCTGGCCCAAGAAAACCCCTGTATAGTCTAACAGGCGCGGAAGGGGAGCAGGAAAAAAAAGAAGAAAAAAAAGAAAGTGCTTCATCTTTCTTATGCACCAGACCCAACTCCAGAAGATTACCATTTATTGGAATAAGACCGGAGTCTGCATATCTTCATGAATCGAAAGTAATTCAAAATCGAAGAAAACATCAAACAGGCCAATTTTTGTTATGATAAATTGCAGTCGTTCTGTGAATATGACATCATGCAGTTATTAGAAAATGGGGACAGGACTGAATAATGGTCAACACCATGTAGATTGAAACAAATACAACGAATTTGTTTTCACCCTGAAAAACCGAAATAACTTATTTGCCAACTCAATATTGTTAATTAATGCGAGGAACCCTTCTTAATTTCTTATTTGGAAACTTCGAACAAAAATCTTGAATAAAAAAAAATCAATGTTTCGACTTATACGGGTAGATATATATTGTGCATGTTATACATGATAAATATGTGTTGAAAAATAATACTATTTATTACTAAGAAAAATATTTACAACACCAACTAACGATTTATGAGGAGGAATAAACTTGAACATAATCGGGAACCGTCCTGTATTCAGCACCTTGTAGGTGCCAAAGCATGGCGTGCTCGGAACCGTCGCTGGCAAAATTACTTTATCAACGAACTTGAAGAAAGGGTCCCATCCAGTCCGCATTACTGTGAACGTATGACCTGGAACGGAGTAATCATGCTAAAAATATTAATTGTAAAAAAATTTTGTAATAATTTGTAAAATATTTTCTACTATTTGTTTATTTACCTATGAGGTCAACGGAAAGGGAATGCGGTACTGCGAAATCGTTGTTAGTGCCCCAATAGATTCCAGCTGTGATTTTGGCAGAATGTAGTTGATCGGGATAACATGGCTTGAATCTAGCTCTGAAGGATATTGAACGATTATTTTCTACTTCAGCTTTTGGAGGGTCTATGGTAAAAACAGTTTTCTCGCCTAAAACATAAATTTTGGACTAATTCCAATCATTGCAGGTATTGGCGTGGTTGCAGATAGGCTTAAAGGATTCCTTAACAGTGCTGTGAGATAAAAAGGTAGTTTTATTTATAGCAGAGTATAACAATAATTTTTGCATTATAACATCAGACTGGTTCTTATAATGTATTACTACCAGCCTTACTATTAACATAATAGAGACAGTTTCCTCGACGCCATTCAACTCTAAAAGTACAAGACCTTTTTTTTTTTTTTTCTTTTTCCCCTTAAGATCTCAACTCCTCAAATCCCACAAGGTTATTGGGATTGCAGTTCCGAAGATGGGAATAAATATCCCGAAACGTCAACTAACTTGTTAACATGTAACGTTGATAATAGAAATATACTCAATTATTACCAATTGGAAGTTATTATTGCCAAACAACTAAAAATAAATTGATAACTTTCCAGAAAAAAGAAGTAAAAGACCTTATTTTTCTAGAGTGGAAGAAATAGAAGATGAGGCATGTGGAACGTAGGATTTTGGAGGCTAGAGGGTATTAAACAGGGCACTTGTTACATGTATTATAAGTGTGCCTCATTACTAAACGGTTTAAACAAAGTAATTTGCTATGAGAGCAAACCAGGAACGTTTAAAATGGAAATACAAATTTAAATTAGAAATCTAGTGACTTGTCATTACAACCTGACAACATATTAGCTCAGGTTTTATTTTTAATTAATAAAATATAGTCGGTTATTAAGAGTGTAGGATCTGATTACTATAGAATCCTGTTAAATGAGAAGGGAGATGAATATAAGGAAAGAGAAAAAGGAGAATCCTTTAATTGGCACTTCTCTATCTATTATATAAGAAGAACTGAGTGTAGTAATAGTCTGACTCAGTACTAGTGAGTGCTGAATTAACTAAATATGATGGCAGGGAAGTGACTAAACTACTAACTAAATAATGCAATTCTATAGGAGGTAACTATACCAACATAGATGAAGCTAGGATTTATCACTCCGGAAAGGAGAGGGAAAGGAACGGGATAATCATAGCAATATGCGTGAGAAAACCAATTATGAAACTGTTAGGCAGAACGATCAAAAATATGTTAGAGAATGATTTTCCTGAATCCAGAGAACAGTGAGGTTTTACAGTAGAGAAGTATTGCATTGATCATATATTTACTCTCAGACAGATTCTAGAAAATCAAGCAGACAAATCGAAGAAACGACATGTTAAAGGGTGGATAGCGAACAACTTCCCAAAACGGCATTTGAGTGGGAGGCCTAGGGTTGACGAAGAAGAGGAAGGCCTTATGTCAGGTGGAAAGATGTTGTGGCTGAGAGTATGGCAGGACTGACGGAAGAGGAAGCGATGGACAGGTAGAAGTGTTGGAATCGACTGATGGAGGAATTTTTCTGAAGGAAATTTCCATTTCTGAGAAAAATACCCTTAAATAAAAATACGCAAACATTAACAATAATAATAAAAAAACATTAAAGCTAGGTCTATAATTTCCATGACATTATTTAGTCATTTTTTTAAACCATATAAATGATTTCTTACCAAGTAGCCACATTATACACAGAGTGACGTTGCTATTATTCGTGATTGTGAATTGTTCCGACGCAATATGTCCACCCTTCGTAGTGTCAACCATTCCGAAATCGATGTACTTCCTGTCGAGTGAAACCAGGGGTGGTTTTTCAACGAATAGCACAGAGGCGACGTCTTGTATGTAAGCTTCGTAGTTATTGGGGTATTTGGGAAATGGTTCTTGAAAATTTATGAAGTCGTCGAATTCCTTAAATGCTGACTGCTTCTTGTAATTGGCTCGAATCGTTATATAAATTGGTTCCTAAGGAGTAAAATTATGAAATCGAATGGCATACGAATTTAAATTAAGACTAAGGGTGTTTTTGAATGTCCCCTGCAAAAAAAATAAAATAAATAAATAAGTAGGCCTTATCCGCTTTTCTGATATTTCTTTGACAAATTCCAGGAGGCTTGTACAGAGATATTGAAGAAATCACTTTGAACTCCATATACACCCCAAGAAATAAAAAAAAAAAAAAAAAAAATTAAATGTGGATATAATAACATATAAAAAGTTTTAAAACTGGAAGGAATGGAGATTAAGGCTTTATTTGAAGTTAATGTAAATTTAGAACATATAAATATAAATATAAATTTTCATTAAGAGTGCTTATCGGTTACGATATCCTTTTATGAATTTTGGTTTATACTCAATATTAACATGAAAGGAATCGGAAAAGTGCACCTGGATAAGAGTTGCACTCGCATTTATTCAGGGATATCTAAACATGCTAAAGAAGAATTCGATTTTGTTATTAAGGAAGAATAAAACAATAAAATGCAGGAATGGGGGCGGTCTCGCCTAGGATAATAATATAATAAAAACAACCTATTTCCAGCTATCTTATGGTAAAATAAAAAATCAGTAAGCTAGGAGAAAGGTTTGAAAAAATATAGCCAACATATAATAATAACATATAGCCAAGAATATAATATATATCTTAGTATAGAACCTCTCTGGAGCGATGGGTTGTATGGATCTGTAGAGCAAGCTTATTAATTATTAACTAAACAAAGTAACTGTAAGAACAAAAAACTGTTTTTAAACGCAATTAAAATTCTGAAAATTGCTCGAGTATTTTTTTATTTTTTCGTCGGTTTATTTCTCCGTTAGTGATAATCAGTGCAGGACTTTGACATTTGCCCCGGGACGTCGACTTGGAGGGGCGCTCGTTGGGGGCGCCAGCCGATCATCGCGGGCACTCGCCCTTGTTAGAAATAGACAAAGTTTGACGATCTCCAGATTGAAAACACCCCAAATCCGAGAATTTTAGTAAATAAAATATTTGTGGGTTACGGTGAGATGAAACTATTTACGAAGTTTCAGGCGGAGGTTAATAATTTGATAAAAAGTGGTCTGTCTTGTCCATGGACTACTAATAACATTTCGATTTATTTTTAAAATGCCAAAGAGAAATAAAAATGCAGAGTTTCTGGATTATTTTATTAAAAATGCTTTAATAGAACGCATGAATGAAGATTCAGAAAAAAAAGAACTTGATGAAAATATAAATGAGTTTTAGTATTTTCTTGCATTTCATTTCAATAAGTATTTTAAACAAAGAATTATATACGACATCAAAACCCCACTATAACTTTCTCTGTGCATTTACGAATTTAGCACCTTTTACAGAACTCCTGACTGCGTTAAAACAGATTTGCCAGCGGCCATATCTAACACACAGGTCTTAAGTAAGTTTCGTCTTCAAACACATTTAAATGGTTAACAATACTTAGTACAAGTTTAAGTTGCATGAATATACGCTATTAGTATGTCAAGCTTCTTCTAAATTCTTTGTTTAAACTATCGTCTACACCCGACAAAATCTATTCATTAATTACATTACCTGATATTTAACAACGCAAAATATTTTTCTGAAGACAAAAGAAACTCGCTTGGGATAAAAGGTGACCAACAACTCTACAGTACTGCCCTTTCCTATTTTTCCATAGGAGGGTGATATTGTAACGTCAGAATAATTATTGTCAATATCGAAACAGAAAATGGCGTCCATCGTACCATTGTTTGTGATACTGATCATCTTCTTCTTTGGTTGACCATTCTTACAGTTGAATATTACTTTTTCTGTATTGAGAACTACTATAGGTCCTAAAATGCAAAATTTTGTTATTAAAATCTTAAAATATTACAATCTGTCTCAAGGACATTTATAATAGCGTTCACAGATCATATTCACATTCTATGTACAGTAAATAAAATAAATTATACAGAAAAATAATATATATACAATAAATAAGAATAAAATAACCTAAAAATAAATTAATAAAAACCTACAAACCTATATACAATATTTACAATCTGGTGTGAGATCTACAAACCAGACTTGTCCCTCCAAGTGTGGAGGGAAAAGCATGGCTCCAGGAGATCCCTGCACTTCTCTCTCAACCGCGTCATTGGGGCTAAACTCAGTGGAGATTGAGCAAGAGTGCTTAAGCCACATACACTCATGTCGTGAATGAAGAATCTGTCCATTGCCAGAACTCCAATATTTACTAACTATAAAAGGTCGCCGCTATTTAATGTACCAATCAATTTATTTATTTTGCAGAATAAGAAAAAAATATTTTCGATAGTTTTAAATGGGTTATTAGGACCAATTTATTAATTTCTATACTTAATTAATATTAAAATTAATTAATATACCTAGAATGATTACAACATTTAACGAATTTTACTTACGAACATAGTAATGCGGGTTTAAATATGTTTTTGAGGAGAAACAATTTTGATATTAGTTTTCCAAACCTCAGATAAACATTAACTGACCATTCTTACTGTATCCCAATTATTATCTTGATTGTTTATATCTTTATTATTATTATCTTCATATATATATATATATATACATATAACTTAAGTTAACTAAATTTACTTTTAAAACAACTTACCCAATGTTGAACCTTTTAAGTTAAGTTTAATAACGTGCTTCGTAGTTGTTGTTATGTAAAAATAATCGTAGTTATTTGTAAAGGGCAAAACTGGCTTGTAAGTGATTCGTATAGCATTTGCAGGGGGTGGTTCTTCTGTCACATGGAACATCCATTCTCGTGGGTCTGTGGTCTTTTCTCGTTGTATAACCGCTACCTAAAATAATAAAGATAAAGAAACGATATCTTATGTCAGAAGGAGTTAATCGAGGGATGCGGTCAAATAAATCCTAAATTAAAATATATCGTTATACAGGGTGTCCTTTAGCTAGAGAGGGGTTCTCGTAACAGGTGATTGTACATACCAAGACCAATAAATAAGTTTATATAGACCCAGAATCCACGCAGATAATTCTGTTTTTTTTTATTTTTGTTTTTTTTAAACTTGTACAAATTATTACGCAATGCTTTATTATTTACGAATAGTTTTATATCAAATATATATGACGCATTCCCTTCCCTCACACGACTTTTCAAACGGATTCTTGTGAAAATGCAAGCTATATATGTATGTTCACTAACGATTTGTTTGTGTTATATGGTCGCTTATTGTGCCTAAAAGTTTGTTTCGGTCTTGCATGAAGATCTCTGGCGGCTGTGTCTTCCTCCATATCCTGCTACCATCACTTCCATATATTTCTCTTTTTCGCCTATTTATTGGTTGTTGCTGGACGCTTAATTTTGGCCATCAATCATCTGGCATTCCTAGTAAATGGCCATACTATTTTGATCTTTCTATTTCAGTGTTTTACAGTTGTTATGGAAAATACGTACTGCTCAAACGTTTTGTTGGGAATATGTTAGGGCCTGGAAATATCACCTTTCAGATCCATGTTGTACTAGATTTCCCAGAAAGGATAAAAACCCTCCCCCTTTTTATTTGTTGTTCTGTTTGTTCCAGAACATGGTGTTTAAGGTTGGAACTATCCTCGCTTTTATAATTTTGCTCAACACGTTTCTTGTTGGAGCTTCCATTAGAGTTAGTGTTCGATGAAACGTACGGTAAATCGTAGCCTTCACTATACACATTTCTATCTCCTTGCCACCTGTTTCTTAGTTTTCAGTAATAGCTTAGTGTTAAAACGTAATATCTCTTTTGTTAATCCAGATTATTTCTATAACTTCACAGTCGGTAGAATTCATCAACTGATGATTTGAAGATAACTTTTCAGATAGACATATTACTATCGAATCTTTGTATCTCTTAAACCGTTTTGATCATTTACATCCTCTTACATTTTTGAAATAGCACTTCTTAACAATTTATATTAGTTTTTTTTAAAATTTTTTCGAACGTAGTGTGGCGGTCAATACACAATGAAATAGTAATACTTACATTTTGGAATTTAATTCGGTAATCCTTTAGAGTGGTTTAAAATTTCTAATATCGTTCTTACCTTTGATGGATACGTCCAGTCAAGAATTTGGATATATTCTTTTCCCGGATCACAATTGGGAAATTCAATCGTTTTAAATTCATTGAGCATTCCTCGGACGCGATGATAATGAAGTTTCACTATTCTTTACAGTCTTTTACTTATTTTTATTAATATTCACATATGATTAATAATACTTTTACAATAATTGTGATTACATTGTTTGGTTTTTTAATCTTTTTTTTTTTTTTTTTTATTATTTCTCCAGTGAGCCCTGTCAGAAACACTGACAGCAAGTGAGAATGATGTCTTTGGTATGTAAGACATTGATATGCATGCAAGAGAAGTGCGTCCAGCGGCATTCCTTCCTATCTTGATTTTACTGTTTATAGTTAAGCCAGGAGATTCCTCATACATTTTCTTTTGAAACTCCTATCAGTGTTATAGAGCATGTTGATTGAGGACATGCCATGATTTTTAAATCTTGAATTAAAAAAATTTAAATTAGCTGACAATCCAAGATTTAAAGGAAAACAACACAAATCATTAAACATGAATTGAATTGAAATGCAGATATTTGATTGAATCCTGAAATTGAAAATTACTTGAACTTTTGTTCTGTTTCTATGTATTATCTTCCACTAGAAAGATAAATGAGAAACGTTTTTTGTACGAGATATTATAATGTCGATACTAAAAGTTTCAATATTTCTTGACATGGAATCTAACAATGCAAATAGGCCATAGGAAAAAGTGGATAGGGTTTCTGAGCCTATGTTACTAGGATCCACAAGCATATATCATTAAAGGAACAAAAATCAGATGATGAAAAAATTGAATATAAATTTTCATTCAGGCTCGATGTTTTCAAATTTATCTGGCTTTATTTACTACTTATAAATAATATACTAGTCATAAGAAGTAGGTAATTTTCAAACCATATTCTTAAGATTATTATGTCAGGTTAACAATAAAATAGGTGAAGAAATAAGCTCTTCAAAGAATAGAACAGATAAGGATTTATTTATTTATTTCCATCCTACCCTACTATGAGCAAGACGGGTGTTTGCAGCAGTTGTGCATAAAATCTTACTGCATCATATAAACATGTACAATTTTACAAAACTTGAGCAATTACTCTATTAAACCTTTGAACTTGTATACTTCCTCCCTCTGGTGGCCTTGCAAGGATAGATTTTCTTTGCTTAATGTTGAAGTGGCTCACTGAACTTTTCCACCTATACACAAAATGTTTGTAGTATGGGTAATTTTCTACAGTGACTGAGAGAAATCGTTCTCTGTAAGAACATAGAGTCTGGTTTCTTCCAGCAGTTTAGCCCTTAATACCTCATAGAAGCTACTATCTATGATGAAGTGGTCGGTAGTCTGTATAGATTAAGAACTAGATAGAAATAGGCAAGGTAAATAGGAATTCCTTCAAACTGTTGTATCAATAATGAATGACTTATTAAATTAAGGAGTAAATTAATTTAGTATCTGTAAATTATTGCATATTTAAGGAGTATACAATTTGATAATTTATGATCATGTGTACAAACAGGTTTACAGAGGAATCTTAGGGTGCGATAAATAAAAATAAAGGGAGCTTTTGGTTCTTAAGAATTAAGAAAAAAAGAGATCTAAGAACCACTGATGTTGTAAAAGACATTAGAGCCATCTTAATTTGACAAACCAACAAGAGCCATAAGAACACTGGGAAACCCACAAGTATGAATTTAGTGAAAGAATCATTGGTTTCTTCATAGTTGCTAGATGCATAAATATTGTAAGTTTGATAGATAAATGTTACAACCTTCAAATGTAATAATATAAATAATTATTATTGAGTTATATTAACCTTAAATACATATTTTAAAGATTTGTTTGTAACATATTTAGTGGAATTACAGTTGTTCTACTTTATGTACTACTATTTTCTTCCATTCGGACATATTTTAAGGTCAATCAAAACAATCGATTTTTTGTTTTTTAATCACTTACTCCTGTATGTGGTACTTCAATTCGCACTAGTGATGTTTAAAATATAATACAGAAAGTTTATTATTTTTATTTCTTAATGATATATTTTTATTATATAAGTGTTATGTTGAATAATTATATTTTTAGTTTAGTTTTTTTATATCTATTTTTTAAATTATTTGTAACTGTGTTTTCTTTTTCTATTTTACAAACTATAAATACTAAAATAAGTAATACAGGATGATTTTGATTCTGGCAATCAGCCCTACTTACTAAGATGAATTCAAAAATTTGTTGTTAAAAATTAAAACCTTTTTCTTTTTTTATCTCCACAGCTTAAGTTTACTGTTCATCTTCATGATCCATTACATCTAAAATAATTATACAACTATAATTATCAACTTTCTTTTTTAACTGAATGATAATTTTGTTTTAAAAAAAATGATCCAATTTTTTACAGACAAGAAAAATATTATATTTATTTTAATTTTTAATAAATCATGAAGTAGGTTCTCACGATATAGTATTTTTTTTTTCTTATTAAAAAAATTGTATTTTTTTATTGAACAATAACATTATTGTTTTTATTTAAAAAATGTCATTCTTAAAATTAATTAGTCAGCGTGGAATCATGATATGAGCCTGTTATTATTTTTTTGTTTGATAATTACAGTATATAAATAGATTATAATAAAAATGCTCTAATTTAAATATTGAAGGAAATACATAAAGTTGAAGCTGACGGTTTAATATACCTATTACTATGTGATATTTTTTCTTTTTTGCATGATTTATAAATATTAATGAAATTGATACAATGCAAAATGCACATAAGCTCGCAGTGCTTGGCACCAGGTTCCACAATCAATAGTGTCCCCCTATCCTCCTAACATTGTCCCTTTGTAGTGTTTAGTGTGTTGATGGTGTTTTGTGTTTCAATGTGTTATGTCATTTTGCTGACTGAACATCAGTGAAATACTGTGCTTCGTGTACTTGTGATGATCACAGAGTGGGTAAGATAGTAATATTTTGATAAATTTAAGACCAAGCATCAAAATATAGAATAAATTATTAATTTTAATATAACTCTGTTTGTGTTCTAACTCTCAATTTAGCAATTTCAATTAATGTATAATTTCGTACATTGGATCTTATCTGAAGTAGTCACAATTCAAAGCAAATATTGAGTATTCATTTGGTTAGTTCTTTGTCTTTAATGGTTAGAATTTTTTTAAGAATTTAAAATATTTATTATTCCTTTCATTAAAAGTAAGAATATTGATGGCTAAAAGCATAACTATTTAAAATTCGCTTTTATAAATTTTACTGTTTTAACGTGAAGTAGAGGTAAACTATAGTTGCATAAATGCTATAGGTACTTATGTGAAGTAAAAGGTTTTTCTTTTCTATAATTTGAAATCTGTGAATTAAGGCAAAATATGGCAAACCTGGGGCCAATCTTAGAATAACTACAAATTCTAAACATCAATAATGAATTTGTGATTGAAATAGTTAGATTTACCACTTTTTATCTTCTACAAGAACTTACAGCTTTTAAACTTTTTAAGCTTATGTTGAAAAAACAAAACAAAAACAGGTATTTCGTACATATAATGGTTGTGCTCTTTCATCAACTGGTGATCATAACATTTTCTGTGTATGACATTTAGTTTTCTATTCCAAATCCCATCAATATTTATAACATTAAAAAACTTGTTTGCTCTAAACTTCACATATTTATTCCTAAAATTTTTATCCAAGTAACATTTAAATCTTAGAACTAAATTGTTTGACAATTAACGATTCATGTAAATATAGCAATTGTATTTACAGTTTTGAAATAATATTAAGGAAACATATCTATAAGTGATTACGAAATGTATTAATTAAATAAATAACTTGAATCCACAGTCAGATCTGCGGAGGGGAGGCGTATACTTTCGGGCTGAAGCCTCCCCAAAATGGTAAAATGTAATCATGTTTTATGGAAAAAAATTATCTCTTATTATTGTTGTTATAATTACATTTAATAGGACTTCAAAAATCACTTAAACACCATTTCATATAGGTAGTTAGTATCTTTCTTTTTTTTACAAAGTAATTATCGTTATAATAATACTAACCTTTATTTGTGCATACAATGAAAAAAACAATGGATAAAAAATAGATATATACAAAATATCTTATATGTACAAAATCAACTTAGTTGAGGTTTTGAGTTTGATTTCTTTCTTTTTTTTTTTTTTTCCTTAACTTTCTTGTAACCACACTAGGTAATGAACCTGTCCCATCCTTTTCCATTCTTTCCTCTCTAATGCTACTCTCTTCCAGGCTGCTCCCCGCAGGTCTTCTTTATCTCCTTGTCCCAGTCTGTCGGCGGGTGTCCTCTCTTCCTGACGTGCTCTCTTGGATACCAATCCATAAACTATTTATGAATTATCGTTATATCTTTGAAAAAAAAAAGCTTTCGGGCTGAAGCCCCCCAAAATTAAATTCTGGATCCACTAGTTCTTGAATCTGTCATTAAAAATAAATAAAAAAGTAATAATAAATCTAGATATATAAAACTAAATAAATGAATTATATTTCATATTAAAACAGTATTTGTTGTTTCAAGACAGATTTTGTAAAAACATTATTTTTTTTTCCAACAACCAGATTTTTAATTCTTAACTTTTAAAAATAAATTATCCTTAATAAAATTTAGAAAGATTTATTGAATTATGTATTAAAAGAACAAATAATAGCAATGAATTAAATAAAATTATGCTCATCGTTAACAAGTAGAAAAAAATAAAGTAGATAAATAAATGAGTATATTATAACTACTTCATAAGAAGGCTTACTACAATCCACAATTAAAAAACTTAGTTCCTTTTTTGTGCAGTGTTCTCGTCGGTTTCTGGTTATTATTGCATTCTTGAAAACTTATTAAATTGCTGAATATCATAATGTTAATAAAATATATTATTTGAATTACATTAATTTTTAAAGAGTTTTTTTAAAATTACATATGTCATAATATAACATTTTATAATATGTGTTACAACTTTGTGTTCTGTCATTAATCACACATTCGATTTTCATTTAACCTATGCAGTCTTTAATTTCTTTAGGATATGTTTATCCTT